TGGCATTGATCCTCTCTCTGAAGGCTTCCCCTCCAGAGCTGTGAGCCACTGCTCTCTACTCCCACTGAGCTTTATTTGGCTTCGTGTCACTTCTGTTTTTTTATGTTCCCACGGCCTGTAGAATATTTATAAGCTGCCATCTTATACGATAACACGATGCTTGTATTTATGTGGTAGAGGTCCGGAATGATGCCCATTGTCCCTTTCATGCTTCCTGGGTTGACGTCAGTACAGTGGAGCTGCAAAATGCCTGAAGTTAATGCAACTAGCACAGGGCAAATGCTCTGGGGAATATGAAGAGTTCTTCCCATTGAGGTATCTGTGGCAGGAAGACGGCCGAACTGCAAGTGTTGGAGGGAGACAAGCCTCCTTAGAGTAAACGGTGAAAGGTCCATTTTGATGACCGCTTCCTTTTCAGACCCCCACACATCTTGTTGTTGTAAACATCACTGTCAGCATTCTGTCTTCACAGAATCCAGCTGACGCCGTGGCTTTGACAGGCCGAATAGTTTGAGGAGTGTTTGCAGCTTCTCAGTCCCGGGCGACCACTTTATGACCTCCTCCTTACTTTTGCTTTTAAATCCAATGAAAGCGTTCGACATATAGCCTTTAAGTGGATCAGGTGTGCAAGAATAGCGTCCGCAGAAAAAAGACGACAAGCACCTTAAGACCCGAGCAGCACATCCTTTAACTGACCCAAAGGCCGTAACGGGTGGGTATCTAAAGCCTCTCACGAGGATTACAGTCATTTATTCAGATAATCAAGTTGAAGCCTGGTAGAGAGTTTAGGGGCATCGGTTGACATAGGCTGAATTTGTACGTTGCTGGGATCATGTTTGCTCAAGTCGTGTGCAGTTATTCAGATTATTCGAACGGGAATGCACAGAATCCAACAGAGGTGGTGCATGATCAAATTTACTTAATTTTATGAATTTGAGCATCCATGTTTTATTTAAAAAAAAAAAAAAACATTTCAAAGCTTTGTGTTAAAGTGACCATAAGGATTTGAGTTAAAGTTAAAACTCTATTTTCTGAAACATTCTAGAAAATGTAACACTGGTCTTGGAAAACATAAATGCAACATCAGTACTTAAGTATCGTTAAAAGTACCAGTAAGTGAAAACGTACAACATTTTTCGTCAACTTGAAATATCTCTTGGTGTTCCTGTGGCAAAGCTGCTTGGAACAGAGAAGAAGAGGACAAAGTTAAACAGGAGCAGCACCAGCTGCAACTGGTGCATTGCAGCACCTGCCCCCCCCCCAGCTCAGAGGCTCCCGCTGCGAAGCCTCATTCAAAACGCAGGAACTGCATCGGTCACATTTGCTCGGTCCGCCCCGCTAGCCGCTAGCATCCGTGGGCTGGTCCAGCGCTGAGTTTTCACCTGTTATCACAAACGTTAATTCCTTAATTGGCCAAGCAGCTTAATGGTTCAGCTCCTGATAGACTTTGCTGAAAATATTCTTTCGATGTGTAAAAGATCCTTATTTGGGATCTAATTGATTCTTTTTCACAATCCAGCCTGGAGGTTTGGGGCATCACTCACACACTGCAGGGATTACTTAAGGAAAGGGCTCTCGGTCCAATGTGGAATTGGGGTTTTCTCAAATTTGATTTTAGAGAGGCCATAAGAATCAAATGTCAGCTAAAAAGAAAATGAAGTGCAATGAGGCTTCATGCACGCAGCAGAATTCTTTTCATTTTTGACTACATCCGATCAGTAAAACAAACTTTACAGGATTTCGGCATGAAGACAAAGCTATTGAGGCTGCCACAAAATGAGTAAAGTGTTTTACTTTACTGTAATTGCATCAGTTGCTCGGCCCTTTTTCCTGTCCAGATTCTGTGAGGCCACCTCCCTTTTCAGTGTCCTTTCCTTCACCTTTGCTCGGTGCTGTTGCTCATTGCTAACCACCTGTCATCCTCGTGTTACCAAGGGAACTGCTGGCTGCAAGTTCTGTTAATTCTGCACAGCGGATGACGAATCTTTTTTTATTTTTTTTATTTTTTTACAAACAACTGAAAAGGTTAGCTTACTGCCTCAAACCACAAGGCCGAGGAAGCTTAGTGGCTGAACTCTTTAAGGATGTTATATAAAGCTGGCTGAGACTCGGTTACACAACTTGAAATGCATTTAGTAATCTCAGACATTGTGAGCTGTTTTCTCTGTAAACTCAAGGAAATCTTTTCATTTTTGTTCCACAAATTTGGAATTCTTTAAAAAAAAAAAGTGATCTTTTGGAAGAATTGAAGTGGAATGGCTTTCATGTGGAGCCATTTATGTGTCCTTTACTCGGAATTCAAATCCATTTGGCTAACATGTAGAGGGAATCACCAGTTTGCTACATCACACTGACTGTATTTATAGCCTCTGGTCATCTGGAAGGAAGTTTCCCCTCTTAGGTAATTGGCATCCCTCGTAATTCTTCCGTCACCGTGCAAACTCACCGTTTTGCTCCAACGCTAATCCAATAACCAAGTCCACTGATCTGTCACCTTGCATAACAGACCCGGGACACCCAACCTGTGCCCTGCCCCCCCCCCCCCCCCCCCCCCCCCCACTGACTGGCCAAATGACAACAGGGGGTGTTTTATTTTTAGCTCCGAGCACATGATAAGGAGAGAAACACTCAGGCGAAGATGCCTGGCACTTCCTACCGATGATCCTCCATGCAAAGCCAAGTGGATCATTGAGACGGGGCGCGCTGTAATTTAACATTCGGGGGTTTGTGTAACACGAGCGGGGAAAGTGCGAAGCGTCAGATGAGCCGAAGAAAGAAAGGAAAGGGGAGGGAAAGTGGCAGCTTTGACTTTGATGACAGTGTCAGTCCTCTACTTTGTTTCCTCGGTGTGACACGAGGGGAAATGCGGCAGACTGAGGCTACGGTTACAGCCGTGTCTCCTGTTACTGTATCTCATGACCTGGCATTTTATAGTTGTTTACGCTTGAAGAAGTCTTGTCATGTGGCCTTTCTCTCATTCCCCCACTCTCAATACAAAGATTTACTGCAGCTGTGGAGCTATGCGATCTCCCCTGTTTTTTTGTATTTCTTATTTTGACCCCACATCACAACTACCACCACAGGTTGCTGAAGGCCACCTGCCCCCCCCTCTGGATCACATGTATGCAACTGGATAGTCGGGGAATACTGGTTGACTTTAGAGTTTTACAGTGGAGCTCTCTTGGCTGTGCTGAAGACGCTAACCTATGCATGTCAATTAAAACATTACAGCAGGGGAACGTGAACCCTGGCAGCTTTTGCTGTTTTTTGTTGTCACAGAGCAGATGATCCCTGTGGAATCTGCCTCTTTTTAGTTTGAAATGCAGTTTAGGGATAGTGGAAGCTTAATCGGTTGGTCTATTTGCCAAACTACCGTTCCTAGGTATAATTCCAACAGTCTGATCAATTTAATAACCATAAGCAAAAAGCCAGGAATAAACAGCTCTTCAATGAGCACCACCTTTGTCTTCATCCCTTCAAACCTGCCTTGTTCAGCAGAAATGACTTCTATTGTTTTTGTTCAAGACTCGTCATAATGCAAACGTTGGATCCAAAACGGTATGTCGTTTATTGGTTTTCAATGGTTTCAATTATTTTTTAAATCCTACGTTTTTAAGTTTAAGGTCCAGCTTTTGTGGGACAGTTTAAAGTACCCAGCTAACATGTGCATGGGGGTTGGAGGGGTTGGGGGGGAGGGGGACGCATGAACGGGTGGGACCAAACCACCCTCTTCTCTGATCTCCTAAGGTATATGCACCTTAGCTTTTTTTATTCAAGAAAATCTAACCTTCACCTTTACTTTCCCTCAATTTTTGCTGTGAAATGTTTTTTTCTGCTTTATCCTGAGGAATGCTTTCATATGACAGAGCCCCATCTCTCCATCCTGCATGTCAGGGGTGTAAGTGGGCAGAGCAGTGCTGGTCTCTACAATCAGACCCCGCTTACAGAAGCAAGAAACGCTCCAATCTGCGATTGCTTTCTTTTCCAGGCAAAAAACGATCTGCTCAAACATGAGCAGGTCGTTCAGACCCACATGCTCCCCCCAAAAAATTACACCTCACTTGTTTTGATTTAGCCAGCAGAGGTCCATCCCAATTTTGTTTTAACTCAGTGAGAGCAGAGCAGCGCCTTGTGTTTCCAGAGATGCAGATGACACAGAGAGGAAGAATTTAATCCACTCAGGCAAATGTTTTTGTTTATTTCCACCCAGCACACAATGGTTGCTTCTGCTTGTCTCACATGTGCTACAAAACAAAATAAAAGAACTTTATTGAGAAATAAAGGGAACACGCAGATATCCGTTTTTTTCTAATTTAACCACAGGTGTTTCCAATCCGACAGAAAACGTGTTGATTCAGCAAAGAGCCATCGGGAAACTAATAAAGAGGGGTTTATTAGAGGTTTGCAGTGCCTTTTATCACACGCCACATCACTGCTGCCTATGTACCCTGATAAGTGTTGTGGACATCCTGCCAGCAGCCTGGACAGGAAATGCCTATCTTTAATCACATACTACAAAATGTCCTGGAATTCAAATGGCGCAATCAGTGAAGTGTTAACAGTTTGGCTTTATGTCCACAAATCAGACTCTCCCAGTCTTTAGGGGTAGATTTCAGGGTTGAGGGACACTGCGGTACTCTCCTCATCCTTGGACATGGACCACATTGCGTGCCGCTAATATAACACTGATGATTCAGAGAATCATTATATCACTTGGTTATTCACCATCTGTTCTCACTGACATGCAATTTGCCATGCTGCTGTTATGTTTTGCTCCAAAATCTAGGGAAATTGGGCTACACTTCAAATTACAAACATAACCCCTCAGTGTCCCACTTTGAAGGCCTCCAATCTCTCAAGCTTAAATAAACTCACCAAAGGTTACACTGAGCATACAAGTTACTGACTCGTCCTTTCCCGACTCCTCTGGGGATCTTTAGACACATAACCACTCAAAGACTTCACAACATGGTTTCATCTCACTGATGTTTGAGCTAAAGCCACATTTTCTTGTTTAAACTACAATGGATCTTTCTGTACAGGATACGAAAAGACGGCGGACACCTCAGAGAAAACATCACTGGCTGATCAAGAAGATGCCCGACTCGTACACCTCAACCAGCCTCAGTTTACAAAGTTTTGCAACAATCGAGTCAGGTAAGAATCATTTTCTCAAAATGCAGAATTTTTAAAAAATTGTTAACAGATAAAGTTCGGGTCATGTTGAAAGGTTTACATGGTTCACAGCAACAGCTTCACCCGGTCAGCTGCTTGAACTTTGCTGGAAATTGTGCACCTTCCTCGTTCTTTTGTCTGTTCAGAAACGACATGGCATCAGCCAATGATTCTGTCACAGTAGCGGCAAAGAAAGGAGCACAAATGCAGCATTGTTCTTTACTGCAACCAGAAAGCAGAACTGCTCCCTTGACAAAAACAGAAAAAAAAAATCAGATGCACAGCAGAGGACAGTGAGCTCTCTATGTACAGCTGCTTATTGAAGCCAAAGTTGTCTTCTGTTGATGACTTTCATCTTTACAGTCAGGTCCTGCTGCTTTAATTTTTTAACCTGCAGTGTTTTTGATGGGGATGTTTATTACTGCATATATTCACTCTTAAAAGCCACAAAATGGTTAGAGCAAGCATTTGTAAACAATCCAAATCCTTTTGAGCCCTGCCTTTTTGATATATTGATCTACTGTGAATATATTTTCTGCTAGGGGTATCATATTTAGCCAAGTTACAATCACTTAGGTGCACATGTTCTGATTTAAACAAACCACATTGTAAACAGACCAAAACAAACACCCACAGTGATGTAATATTTGATAGATACCCCCAATATTTCGGTCAGCTGTGATGCATGGGGGCAGATGCTCCAGACCGACTGGCGTAGCGGGATGATTCTCTTGAAAGAGTGCAGTACTTTTGCAGCAAAGGTCAATATTGTTCAGGAAAACCGTCAAGGAGGATTACTGTTACAGTTCTTTCTGCATGAGTAGCTCAGGTTTTGTGCACACACGCGTCTCTTAACTGAACTGGAATAGTAATGGGCCTTTGAGTACAAGCGTGCACAGAGAAGTGCCATTTGTTTGGTTTATCTCTTGTGTATTGGTGTGACAGATAACAGATGCAAGCAGCTTACAGATGTAAAGTGTTCTTTATAACAGTTGTTCTCTTTAGATTACTCAAACAGAAAAATGTTAATGTAGTTTGTAACGCGCCTTGTTTTTTTTGTTCTTGTTATTTTTTTTGTTATGAACTATCAAACCTTAAAAATATTAAGTTAAACAATGAAAGAAAACTCTATGATAAGCACAGGTTGTGCTCTGAAATATGTGGCTCAACTGTCTGAACTTTGAATGAGCTGGACTGATGGTCAAAAGACCAAAAAAACGTTGAGTTTCGGTCTGGTTTTGAGTGGAGCTGGAGGTCTCAGGCAGACATTTACCTGGATGTCCGTTCAAGGATGAGTTTTTCATGGTTGAAACTCATAAGGTTTAACCTCCTGTTGATTTCGAAGTTCAGAATCTCTGGCTTTTCAGATTACTGAAAGTCAGGTTTAATGCAGATACATGGTAAGTTGTAAGACAATATTGCTAGTATGATCTGAGCTGTAGAGAATGGGATCACAGTCTGACATTTTTAGATGGTTCTAACAAACACGGGCAGGTGTTTTGTCATATGATGATTGAAATTAAACTAGCTTGATTTTTCAGGACAAGCACACAACCGTCCATGAATTGACCTTTGTCTGGTTCTTCTTTATTCTTGTTTGAAATTCCAAATGGCTGCCTCAGACCTTGAAAATGCAGGTTGATGCATCTCTGAAGATCCAATTTGCCCAACAGGATTTGTTGCAGTCTCAGGGTGACCTGTAGGTGCTCTTTCAGGGGTTGGGTCTGTGATAAATGACGGCTCTAATCTCACAAGCAGAGGGAAAGTCCTCCCATTTACCTGAAGGCACTCTCCACCTGCAGCACCTACTCCTCCACGAGAATGTGATTAAACACTGAGATGTTGACAATCTATCCCATGACAAACCGTATATCTGTTTAGAACCTATTAAATGCTATTGGACATTGGACAATTGAGTAATGAATAGACTCAGAAACTCATGTGCACAATGAACCAGCACACAAAGACTGAAAGTAAATGTCTTGGCAGAGCGCTCTGAGTTGTCTAACTCACTGAAATACATATACACATATGTGTGTGTGTGTGTGTTTGTGTGTGTGTATATCTGCATTACAGTGGAGGTCCATGTTAGAATGGGATTCCTCTGGTAAAACCCAAACTGGGCATGTGACACCCAGCATACCAGCTGGGCTGCTGCGTGGTTGCTTGTTGAAGACCAACACATGGGGCATGTCTTACATTCTGATCATTCTCCTGGAAAGGTTATGAGTCCAGTCAGTGGTATGACCTCATTCAAGCTGCTCGTGCTGTTTTGTTTGCCTAGACACCTACAGCATTGTCCTAAATCTGGCATTATTTGACCATCTATCGGATTATAAAATCGCCTATCAAAAATGATGTGTATGTTGTGATGCTTTAAGCCTTAAATATAATGTGAGTGATATGTTCCAGGATTCTACAAGGTGGCCTCTGGAGGAATCAGGAGGCTGACATCAGGGAAGAATTGACAAAAAAAAGATTGCCTTGAAAACAATCTGGTGGTTTTAGGGGAAAGTCAGCTTCACATAACAGAAAAAAGGAAGAGGCTGGTGATCTCAGTGTGCCGGGCGCTCTATGACACCGCCTGTAAATTCTTTTTGTAATTATGCTGGCAACTCAACACATGGATGCATCCCATGAGCCACGATGCTTAAGCACATTACACAGGACCAAATCAATCATTCCAGACTAATAATTGCCAGGAAATTAAGGCGGATGAACCGTCCTGGGCATTGTGTTGTGTTCCCTCAGGCAAAAGAGATATTTTCTCTGTTTTTGTTGTTGTTGTTTTTTTCTAAAGTAGGAAATTATTTATTTATGTGTACATTTCCTGGGTGTGATCAATCGCGCTGGAGAGCATCCGATATCTTTCAAATCGCTCTGTTGCTTGAAAGAAAGTAATCCTCTTCTGATACAAAGGTTTTACTGAGGAGATCGACTGATGCCTGCCAGGCCTTACCAGGCCAAAAACAACTTTAAATCTGCCAGACACGTGTTGCTATAGCTGAAAGTCTGGAGAAAATGCTCCTCACATAGCATCTTGATCCTCAGCGCACTGCCAGGAAATCAAAAGCCAGGTCTGTAATTGTCCTTTTAAGAAGAGTCATCTAGCTCCCCACGGTCGGTGGATGTTTATCTCTGTTCATGAGTAACTGGAAATGATGAGTTTTACAGTGTACTGCAATAAAACCAGAAAGAAGGAGGGATGGATGGAAGAAAATGATAAGAAAGAGAGAGAGAAATGGGATCTGAAGGAAGAACACTGAGTCAGTTGGACGATAACGGTGATTAAACCATGGCTTTCAGTTAGTGAACACTAGAGCTCTCCACCTACTCTCGCTTTGTTAGCCAATACACAGACGCTATGCGTTAGTACTTAGGTGTTTAATACCCAACGGGGTCATCCTTTCATACATGTGAAAGCACTTATGGTGTTCCAGCCTCTGCAGCAGGCTCTGTTCCTGGACACATGATCTTCTTTTGATTATATAAATAGGGGAAGCCACTGTCTATTGTAGTACACTAGTACAGTAACTTTCCGCACAAGAATATGTCCTTTTTTAATTTTTTTTATTCATATTCATTCGCTAACAGAGAGAGACAGTCATATATTTTACTCCACTTCCCCACATTTCCCTATCTCATCCAGCCTGTTTGTGTGCTTCTTCCCTTCTATGATGAGGATGATGACTGAGAACTTTCTCTTCCCATCGTTGCCAGAGAAATTACAAGGTGCTCTTTAGGAAATATTAATTCAGCACTGGGTTTTTCTTCTTCCCAGGACGTCCGTCCATTTAATTGTGGTCCGTTTCTAATGTGTTGCTGCTACAGTCTAAACTTCTCCAGAATGCCGCATATCACCAGATGTGTCTTGCTTTGTCAGCTAACAGATGTCTAAATACACCCGTCTAGTTTTATACACCAACAGCTGGCGTTTGTGACGATGTCCCTGCTGTCATTTCCCTCCCCTCCTTTTTCAAATGTTCTTTTATGATCGCATCGTGATACCAGTAGCTTAGGGAAATCTCCTTATAGCTTTGTTGAATTTAACTTAAGATAATTTTGTGAAAACAAGAAACACAGAAACAGGAGGTACATCCCACCCATAAATAATTTTACCCCATGGTGAACTCGATATATTAGTTTGCCTTCAAACCAGATTGAGCCAATGCTTCCTGTTTGTCCTGCTCGTGTTTGACTGACAGCTTTTTGTGTGAGTATGCCAAACATTGCCGGTGGCGTGCCGCATGGTATATATCCTCTCCTAAAGTGGCCTCTCTGACTGGCCCCTTTAATGCAGCTGTAAATCAGACCACTGGAGGTCTGACTCCGAGGCTGCTGAAAGCTCCTCTGGTCTCAATATCCAGCCATCTCCAGCCGGCCCCACGGTGGCACAGGCACCATAGCTCACATCTGCCAGGAGATCTTTATGCCCCGTCTGCCCGCTCCGGCCTCCCCTCTTATTATTCTATATTATTACAGAGTCTGTTGGTCACTGTTGTTTATCAGCCTCTCTCTGTCTCTTTCTCAGACACACACACACACACACACACACACACACACACAGATCTCTGCACCTGTAAAACAAAGGAAAGAGATGGTCACAGTGACTGTATTTGTTTGAACTTCGGTATCTAATTGTAAGGCCCTACATTTTGGTTATTTTCCAGAAGGCATTTTGTAACCTGGAAGTAGTTTAGTAGCAGAATTGCCTGTTGTGATATTTCCACATCTGCTAACCCACCGATCTTGTTTTTCTCTCGTCCCCCCTGCGCTGCTCAACTCGATCCTCAGCACGGCCAAATATAACGTGCTCACCTTCCTCCCGCGGTTCCTCTACTCGCAGTTCAGGAGGGCGGCCAATGCCTTCTTTCTCTTCATTGCACTCTTGCAGGTAAGACGTGGAGTTTTTTGGTGACAGGTGAGGGCACAGACATGAAAGTCTCTGCCTCTCTCATGATGAAAACTTGGCCTGTTGTCTTTAACGCAGGGGTTGGCTGGCATGGCGCCATTACCCTGAAGGTCATGCCTGTAATTCCATACGTACGCAGACAAGCTCTCACACACACACTCTGGCTCTGTACTTTTTATATCCTGATAATGAATAATACATGTAATGCTTTGTGTGCATACTTGAAAAGTAAAGCAAACTTGCTGAGAAGCTTAAACTTATAGTTTTCCTGGCATGTTATTCCTGAATTTTGGCTCTTTGGTTTACACCAACAACTAAACTTTTTTGGAACTAAGACAGCAAGTGAGTTGAAGCCACAAGCAGAGCAACAGGGTGGATGTAGAAATCTGTTGAGCCAAATTGAATAGGGAAATTAGTTTCTCACAGACGGGTGGATTTGGAATCAACCATTTTACGATTTTGGCTGCAGCCCAATAGTAGCCGCAGATCTCAGTATTGCTGTTTTGATTTAGCAGAACAAAGGCTCTCTACCTCCAAGGAGGTTTAGAGTAGCTTCCCTGCATAAACCGCCAATAATTCCATTCACAAGCACCTTTTTGCTTGAACCGCAAAATATTCCTGCACGATTAAAAAGAAGCAGAAATCAGAATTTTAGTTCTTCAAAGCTTACCAGGAGAGAGCGGATTAAAGAAAACTGTCAGCAGGTTTCAGCTTGTGTCTTTATATGAGAATGGACGGACTATCCCATGGTAACGAGTGTTCTGTTGATGGGAAAGAACTATCCGCTGTCCTTTGAAAAGCAGCCAGTATGAATCTTCATTACCTGGCCTGTCGATGCTCTGACCTTGAATAAAACATCTATGAGATGGACACGAGATCAATTCCATCCAAGTTTCCTTCCAGCAGTACAACACAAGACATTTCAGTTATTTTGTGAGAAATAATTGACACTGTTGGGGAAACCTTTCTTTGCTGCACTCCTTTTTTATTTCTTAATTTTTTCATTCCAATCTTTCTTTTTTGCCAAGGAAGGCATGGCCGGAGTACAGCCGGGGGTTATTTTTAGCCCAGACCAGGCACGTGAGCTTATTTTCACTTAAGCAGAATTGCAAAGACCTAACTTCTTGCCCACATTTTTGTCTCCTTCAGCAAATCCCGGATGTTTCCCCCACGGGTCGCTGGACCACGCTGGTGCCGCTGCTCTTCATCCTGGTGGTGGCTGCTGTTAAAGAGATAATTGAAGACCTGGTAAGTCGAGTACTCTTAGTCGAGTATTATTTAACACTAATCATGCTCGGGTGGCATGTACTCGCTCTGCCTCGGCTCCACTCGACTCGTCCACGCCGACGGACTGTGCAGAGCGTTTTTGATTGGCTGTGCGGAGCGTCCAGCGTCGGACTGTTCCCTGTGAAGCGGAGAGAAGGAAATGATGCTTATGCGACCACAGCAGGATACCCCCTGACATAAAATCCCAGCATCAGACACGGATAAGCAAACGTACAGTTGGGTGGTCACAGCTGTGCCCATTTCACCCGCGTTCTCGTTCAGTCGATTAACCCAGATACTGAATGCTCATTCACAAAGGCAGTTAGCACTAACAAAACAGCCACTGTCTCCCCTCGGGCCAGTCTGAACTATCCAGCAGATGCTTGTGGGGAATAAGGTATGGGGGGGGATTTAAAAAGAAAAAAAAAAAGAGTTTCAGAATGTTGAACTGCTCTGAAATTGAGCATAATGATGAGTGATGAACTCAAGTCTGAGCAGAATGAGGGAATGTTGCATTCTACTATATTGCAGTGACCCTGCAATGCGATCCTCTGTGCAGGTCCCGGTGGGCAGTTACTGTATACTATAGCTTCTACCGTGTGCCGAGGGGACCAGCGCAGCACTTTCTCTCCCGGCCCTGTTGTGAAAAAAACACGGCAACCAAGCAGTGATGACTCCGTCTTTATAGTTGAAGGTCACCTGCGCACGTCTGTTCCCCCGTAATGTGCCGTCCCTCACGAGCTGACCTGACAGGGCAACATCGACGTCTAACTTCATGAATCATGCACAACGGACACACACACTGCGCAGCACATGCCGCTGCAGCGGGCTGAGCTGTCTTTCAGCTTAAAATATCAACAAAATTGGAATAGTACATTGTGAAGTCGAGCTGCTTTTACAGTAGCACTTTGTGCAGGTTGACATAGTTTAGCACTTTCTAGACACTCTGCTCGTTGAAACAACAGTTGGAGCACTGAAGTCTGTAGCACTGCAGATGCTGCTTTTCTGTTCACTTTCCCTCACACTTCCCCTGTATGTCTCCGGCCTGTGGAGGCTCGGCACTGCAGTGCCTGCGCATAACCTCTGTGCGCCTCTCGCTTTCTGCTGCACTGTGATTACACACATCATCTAAATACAGTACATCTCCATTTCCCTCCGAGTCCGCTGGGACGGAGGCAGCGCTGGATGCGGGCACAGCGGATTTTCTCAAAACTGAAAAGCAGCAGAAGTCGTGGCGCTGCTCCTGCTCCCTCCTCCACTTCTCTGAATAGACGAGGGTCCGCGCCAAAAGACCTAATGGCGTGGATGAATGCAAGGAGCTGACAGCTCAAGCACATGGCATGATGAATGAGCTCTGTAAAGGTCTCAGAAAAAGCCATGTGACACCCACAACAGATTCATTAGACACTACGGCACGCCGGGAGTTTAGATCAAATGTGGTTTAAACTCCAGTATGCGAAAGAAATTGATGGCAGAGTGGGTTTACCAGAAACGGCCACGCTTGGGGCCATGATGAGTCTCACCTGGCAGAGGAAGCACTGCATGCCAAAGCTGAGTCCTTGCTGCAGCTATCCTGGTTCTCACAGGTTACCAAAGCATGAAATTAGGTGTACAGAGTGGATGAGTCTAAAGAGCAAACAGAAACTCATACCACATAACCGTAGGCATAGGCTTTGATTTGAACAGGCTGAACGCAGCTGTAAAATCAAACCGCTGCTTTTCAGGCCAAGAGAATGCAGGTTTGAGCGACTGTAACGCTTCATGTCAAACTGCTCGTTTCTCAGCGAGTAACTCAATAGCTTCTTTTAATTCCCCGAAATTTTGAGTAACGCGTGGACAAATTGGGTTAAAATTGGGTTAGGATGATGCAGAATAGTTCTCTTGTAGTAAACAGGCTGTGAGTGGATATATCCTCTCCTTGCTAATCAAATGGAGCACTCGTGGCTTTCAGGATCTCAACTTTAAAACTCAGTGATCGCATTAATGAAGGATGTTGCAACACATTATTACTCAGCATGATGCTACTTGACAAGCTGTCCCCTGAAATTAGCTGCAGAAGTCACAGCTAATTGCATAATTGTTTAGCCAACAAGCAGGATGTGAGGGAAAGTGATGGTGCTGATACGTAGTGGTCACACACAGGGGTTCCTGCAGATTTTAAGATGATGCCAAACTCTAGTTTTTATTCTGCATCAATCTGCTAATTCATGAAAACGGATAACTCAACATCCACACGGGTTAGTCTTGGCCTGTCAGCAAAGAAAGCTACAAATCTCTTTTAATGGGCCTAAGTCAACTTATCAAGGCATGTTAATCTATTCAGACCAGTATTTTTACTGTTGAGATGCCACATGACCGTCTTTATACGAACACTCTAATCCTGATTGATCAGGTAACCCCGTGCAGGTAACCGCTCCGACTTAAGCGTCAGACTTACAAAAATTTGCGACTTCTGTTGGGACCACATGCTGTTGTGATTGTTCCTTATCGCTTAGGACAAAACTCTGAGACTGCATTTGGAAAGTATAAATCTAATCTTTTCAGTGTGTATTTAAAAAATAAAATGTATATATGATTATGATTGTGATGGGTTTTTTTTCTTCTTCACAGAAACGCCACAAAGCTGACAATGTTGTCAACAAAAAGGAATGTCAAGGTATTGAAACCCATTTCTAAGTAATGGATCATCAAATAACTAGGGTAGTGCATTGTCACATAGGATAAAAGAAATAGGAGTCTGCTCTTTCTATCAGTGTTTTTTGTTTCTGTCTTTTTTGTTTTAATTTTAATATATCGATACATATACATTTTCTTGTTTTGAGCATTCTTCCATATGGCTCTCGTTCCTCTCCACAGTGCTGAGGAATGGTGCCTGGGAGATTGTGCACTGGGAAAAGGTATGTACGAGACTAATTTTATTCACACGAAGCTGTGGTTGCACAAGCCGCACCTTCCTCTGACACATTGGACTGTTGTCATTTGGAGCATACTCTCTCACACAGACCGTCCTCCCCCACACACCTTCACACCCTGACCCCCCTCATGAGCAGCCTCCGCTAATTAATGCTGCCTTCACACGCAGTTCAGCTTCGGAAGACAAGGCCATAGGACAAAGAGCAGCTTCCGCTCCACACTCGTAATGTTTCATTTCTGTGTTCGGAGCAGCTCCGCTAAAAGCACATGGTGAGCGGGCAAACCACCAGGCAGTGCAGGATGACGCTGCTTTGGGACCTAATTGTTATCAGTTCTCCTTCTGTTAGAGGCTGCATTTTTCATTTAGCAGGGCGGAACAAGCTGAGGCGATGCTGCGGGACATCATACAGACAATAAGACCTGATTTTCATTCATGAACTGTTTGTGGATTTTCTCTGTAATCACGTTTACTTTTACATTTCTGTCTTTTTGTAATATGAATGTATTCAGATGAAAAACAACCAATTCCATCTACTGAGTGGATTAGAATATCTTTTTCATTCCTGATAGCAATCTTGCTTTTTCTTTGCCGTTTTATGAATAGCCCAACCGCAGTAACCAGTTTATTTCCACAGGTTGAAGTGGGCGATATTATTAGAGTAAATGGCAGTGATTCCGTTCCTGCGGACGCTGTCATTTTATCATCCAGGTACAGGAGCCCACCAGGCTGCGGGGATCTTCTCCCTCTCTCTTCTTTTTGCTCGCTCACCATTAATGAAGCGATGGTTGCTTTAGCACATCGTGCCATCATTTCAGATTAGACAACAGATTGACACTTCAGTCAGTTATAAATCGAGTCTTCAAACACACCTTTTCGGCAGTTGAATATGGTATGATTCTGTTCTGCCCGATGTGCCAACCATCATTTCCTTTGGTGAGATATGATATGATCATTTAGAAAAAGATTGTTGATCTTCTTAGATTTGACCCGTCCTCATAATCCTATTTATCTCCACCACTTTTTCAAAGTCCATTTAGATTCTGCAGTAAATGTAGCTTTTTAACATGGTCTTTTTTTTATTTATATTTTTTGTGGATCTTTTATTTATTTCTAATTTTTTTTTCCAAACAAATATTGTTGAAAAACAGAATTGGCCACGCCTTTTGAAATGTTTTTTTTCTGCCATATCAACAACGGCGAAACAGCATTTCATTCTTCTGCATTTTCTAAATGGGTTTTGCAAAAGGACCAACCATTGCTCTGACATTACAGGACTGATCATTGTGCTCTCCATTTCTCCCTAAAAACTGAATCCGTTCTCTCTCTCTCCCCCTTGTACGTTTTTTGTGTTTGTCTACTGTTTGCCTTTTTTTCTTTTTTAATCCTCTCCATTCCCACCCCTTCACCCTCTTCTCTCTCCCCCTGCAAACAACTGCCGCATCCCCTCTGTCTCGCCCCCTGCTGGTGTGTGGTTGGTAATATCAGGTGGCTGTTGGTGAAGTAGTCAGAGCTTCAAACGGGGATCACCTCCCGGCTGACCTCGTCATTCTGTCGTCCAGGTCAGGAACACAGCAACATTGCCAACACAACAGCGGCGGGAGAGATGAGAGTTCTGAGCTCCTCTGACGTTACAGATACTTTACTGTTCACATTAGAGGAGGGATTGGGCCTGTGATTATTTTAGCAGTCGTACCCAGTAGCTGTTGGTTTTCATCATGCAGCGTTTTTTTTTTCTCACAGCTTAACTTTAGACTCCTTTAAATGTTTGTCTGACACGTCCAGCACTGCTGAAAGTAAATGGAGTATTACAACACCGGCGCACATGTCCCTTCTGTTATTGTTCACGCGCTCTTTGGAATGTGAATTGCCCATATTCTTGCTCTTGCATGGCTTGTGTGACATACCGAATGCAACAACGTAATTCGATCCGACTCTTTGCATGCCGTCACATTCCAAGATGACAATGTGGAAACCATCTTGGATTCAACATTTCACTGCTATTTGAATGAGCCACTTGTAGATGATTGATTCACAATTAGCACAGAACCAGTATGATGCTGTTTAATGAGGAGTACAGAATCAATCAAAGCAAATTTCCTGGCCATCACAAGAGCCTTTTGTTCAAAGCTCTTATAGCAGGACACTCTGCTCTTCTTGTGTTATTTCTGTTTGACTGGATGACTCCTTTAAGGGAGCTAACCAGTGACCTTGCTCACCTTTTAACCACCGGCATGCTCTAACTCTGTCCCAGTGCCCAGAGTCTGTCTGAGGCCCGCTCGTCTCCTCTATTCTGTGGTGCTTGATATGCCTGCTCGTTCCTGTCACCCCTCTCTAGATATTTCTTCTATTTCTGTCTATTTCCTGTCCCGTCACAGTATACTTTAGATTTTCTGAAAGACAGCTAAACCCAAGGGAGGCAGCAGCACCAAACAAAGAAGTTATGTGTGTCCTTTGGATGCTTACTGGACATCAAATGGACAGTGACGGCAGTTTGTGCTGACTTGCAGCATCTTTGTTTGCAGTGCTGGATCCTTTCCTTGTTTTGTTATAGCCCCTTCTAACACAGCTAGTCGATCAGATTACTGATTTTGTTGTACTTTAAAGTTAAATTTGAAGTCAGGATAAAAAAAAACACTAAACAGACTAGAGTATATTAAGTAACCTTAAGTAACAGCAACACAGATATGTCTTATTGCATTAGGATTGCACCCCAAGTGTCTTTATCTTCTCCCTCAACAGTGAACCACAGGGGATGTGCTATATCGAAACTTCTAATTTGGATGGAGAAACGAATCTGAAAATCAGACAGGTGATTACCACTTCAGCCCTTCTATGTACCAGCTATTTTTCACACACTTGAGAAGTTTCCTTACTGCTACTTTAACCACAACAGGGTCTCCAAGTGACATCAGACATAAAGGAAATTGACAGCCTGATGCGTCTCTCTGGGCGGATGGAGTGTGAAAGCCCAAACCGCCATCTCTATGAGTTTGTTGGGAACATCCGCCTGGACGGACACAGGTGGGCTCAGTCTCTGGCCTTCTTACCATCCCAGAAGCCTGTGAGCCAAGAGAGCAAGAGAGACGGGAGCATGTTTTATCTTTCTGCTGAACGAAAGGAAGGACCCATTGCAGGGACGTTTAATTACACAGTCGTCTGGAGGCTTTAGATTTAAAGGGGCTTGGCTGCTTTTTAGACACATGTAACAGAGGAAACTCGTGGTCGGGGTTTTTCCTAGATGCTGAACAGTTGTTGTTCTGGACTTCAGCTGTCTTTATTTATTCATGTAAATCTTTTCTTGAACACATTATTTTACACCGTTTCAGTTTTACTAACATGTAGCTTAAAGCACAAATACCCCAGTGCCCGTTGCTCAACATGGTTTTCACTTCTCTCTGTAATGCTTTTGAGAAGTCTTGTCATAAAGGATTCAGTTTATAGGTGGATGAGGCAATTGATCAGAAATGGCACAATTCTGTTACATTTAGGATAATACATTCCTCAAAGCTGAATGTGCCTCAATTATAAAGGCGTTTGGGTCAGCTTTTGTAGTTTTGTGGTGAGCTAGTTAAAAATGAGAACTGCACTAATGGCAGTGATATTTGTCACTTCAGCACGGTACCTCTGGGTCCAGACCAGATCCTACTGAGAGGAGCCCAGCTGAGGAACACACAGTGGGTCCATGGTGTTGTTGTCTACACAGGACATGACACAAAGCTCATGCAGGTAAACTTGTATATTTTCACTTTATGTTCTGTGACAAAGGGAGCACAACCAGTCTAATCAACCCATAAAAAATGGAAGGAGAATGTTTATTTTTATTTTTTTAAAAGGTCATATTCAACATGCTGATTCCTTTTTGGGGCTTTGCAAATAATGTCAGGGTTTAAGTTAGTTACAGAGAGGCCAATTCTCCAAAGCTATCTGTTAACTTCACATTAGTTCTTTTGTTTTGGGGGGTCAGATGGATTAAATGTTCTTACTTACGAAGAGCAAAATCAGAGCATTGCAGTTTTGTTGTTCTCTCCCTTCCCATCTCCTTCTTTTTTTTGGTTGCCACAACTGTCTCATCGTGCGTTTCCCAGAATTCCACGCGGCCACCTCTGAAGCTGTCCAACGTGGAGCGAATCACCAACTTTCAGATCCTGGTGCTGTTTGGCTGCCTGCTCGCCATCTCCCTGGTTTGCTCTATTGGCCAAACCATCTGGAAGTACCAGTACGGCAATGATGCCTGGTACATGGATCTCAACTGTAAGAGTCTCCACAGCTCTGGCTTCACACAAATTCCACATATTTTATCCCACTTGTTCATGTCAGCTTATTTCTTTGTCATTTTCAGTTCTTAAATGCTGCTCTGTGTCGTGTCGTTTTATGTTGCCTCAGTTAAACTCCGTTTTGTATTACAAGTGAAATATGTGGCAATGTGGGAATAAGTCAATTCCCTGTTAACGGAGAACACAGCTGTGACGTGCATAAATGTCTTGTGAATGAGTCTCATTGAAAAAGAAATGGTTGAATATCACTGCACTGCTGTACTTTTTCGTTCCTTTCTAATGTTCTGTTTGATTTTGTTGTTTTCTTTGTTGTCGTTTTTTAACAGCTCCAGGTAACAACCATTTAAAAGCCTTGGCCATCCGTGAATGACCCTCCTTTACTAACCCCTTACTGAAGCTCTGCCTTTGCTAAGCAAATGACGCCCCCTACCCTCGCCCCCTATATGGTTGCCCCACTTTGTTTCGGCCCTTGCCATGGACAAGCACATACCAGGGATCCAACAATAGGTTTTTCCCCTCCAGCTCTCTTATACCTTTGTCTAGTTTCAGTGCCTGATGCACACACTGTTTCACGTTTCCTCCATTTTCTTTTCCCGTGCCAAGTTAATCACTTTGCAGTTTTCCAGCTTCAGAGCGTCCTTTGTCCCTTTCATTTTCACCACAAATGAACAGCCATATTTGCATTCACTGTAGACCAGACAAAGTTTTGCACAATAATCTTTTAGTAGCAGGAAATGTATATGTGTTTATGGCTAGAACTCAACATGTGTAATATGTGCTACCAAACCAAAGGGCAAAAGCTGACATTTTCAAAATGCCCTCTGCGCTCGTGTGGACAGACGGGGAGGGTGGAGGTGGAGGGTTGAAAGGGTTGATAACATTTTACTTGTGTAAACCATTCTAAATAATGCCTCTCTAAAACCATACAAAACAGGGCCTGCTCAGTTACTGAATTATTCCGTCGAACTGAAGCTCTGAAGCTGGTGTGCAAAGTGATTACCATGACACCCTGGCCATTACTCTGTACCCCGATAGGCCTGTGTAGGACAGGTGTTACCCTGGTCAATACAAGCTTGCATTACGACTTACATGATCCCATTTGATCAAATGTTGTTTTGGCCTCTATTGGTTTTCAAAAGGTTTTAATATTTCCCTCGGGGGTATTAAAACCATCATCCAAAAGATCCTCTGCCCAACAGATAGGCGAGTGTAAGTTATAAAGCAAGCATCCATCTTGAAATGATTTTACTTCCATAAGGAGTCGTTGAGGCTCTGTCCAGTGCATATTATCCAACCTGTGATAAAAGTGGGGTGGAACGATTGTGACATCTTTGACATTCATTGAACTTTCACTTCACTCCACTTTGTTTTCATAAAACATCAAACGTTCACCTGTTTATCAGGATTTGTGAGATAAGTGCAGACAGAAAAGGAGTCAGCTAATAGGCCCCATCACACACACGTATTTATCACAGACCACGAAGGAAGGTTGAATATCAGATTTGGACTTTGTGCTATGGCAAAACGCTGATTGGTTGCTGCATGAAGGCGGTGCACTTTGACAACTAATACAGATGTTTGTGGTTGTTTGCTTTAATCTCAAATACCCTTCCTCAGATAATTTATTCACTGGTGATTTAAAGGTTACTTTATAAAGTATCAAAAACATAATCGGATTAACTCAAGTCTTAAAAGCAGATAAAGGTATCCCTTTTAAAGAATTTAGACAAAATGGATAAAACGAGTATCGAAGGCCAAAACCTGTGAAACTTCAGGATTAGCGCTTGACACAACAGTTGAGCTGATGTTTTGTCTTGGATGAGTGGGTGTCAGGTTTTATTAAAATCGTAAACATCTATCAAATGCTTCAAAGTGAAAGCTCCAAAAATATCTGTGTCCATCTGCACTTTGTCAAACGATTTGTGAACAGTTGAGTTAGATGGCAGGAAAAAAAAATTATGAGGCAAAAGAGGAGCTTTTAGTGAGGAAAAATTGAGTTTGTAGAATGGAAAACTTTGCATTCAAAGATTAGAACCTTATCCTGTCTGCAGCAACATGGTGGTGCCAGTATCATGGTCTGTCCCAGTGAGTTTAGAGCCACACTAGTGGATCAAAAGAAACATTTCAGCACATGTGTCTGGAGGCTTAATCTCAAGACTAAGTGCGCCATGCAGCAAGACAACTGAAAAGCAGATATATTTAAGTTTTGTCATTGTTGGTCTGAGATACGACACAAAGGAAATACATCCACTGTTATTTGCTCTTTTGTTTAAGTGTTTCTCATTATAGTTTAAATTACTCTGAATCCAGTACCATTCTCTCATATAGCACTCCTGTGTGTCGTAATTACCCAGCTACTTGGAAAAAGTCCAATGAAGTGATGTAGAGATCGTCATTAACACCCAACCTTACGTAATCCGCCCACTCTTTTTCACGTCTTGTTGGTTGTGAATGTGCTATGGACTGAATCTCCCTCCTTTGTCTTGAGAGCATCTGACATGTTTGTCTTCCCCCCACTTCTGAAAACAACCCCCCGTCCTATATGTGTTGTAGTAGCAGTAGCTTCCATTCTGCCACTTTCTTTGTGCCATCCAGTTTTTTGTTTTGCAATCCTTCTCTCATGGAGAAGGGCTGAACCTCTAAACCACAAAGCTAAACTCAAGGCTTGGGTTGAGGAAGGTAACATTTGCACCTCCTGCAAGCTGAGGAAAGGTAAATCACATCCCTCCTGTTTTCATGTTTGTTGTCACTGGGGTTACATGTGGATCATTACCAGTTGTTTGGGGCTTTTGCGGGACTAGCATCATTTTTGCATAGTGCTTTGTGGAATTCATTGCCTGGATCATGCTGGATGCCAAGGCTGCTGCTGTGACACAAATGAGATACTCCAGTCCCTGATTGCTACTTTGAATCTTTGGGACTTTAAATTGGATTACTAATCGGTTGAGATATATAAAAGAACGAGGTTGGGTGGAAGAAAAGGTTAATTCCAGCTAATGCGCAACATTAGCCCAAAACTTGCTCTGGGTTGGTTTAATGTTGATCATTAGCTGGAAATAGCTTTGGGCTTTTTTCATAAGAACTATGCGACACTTACAAACCACCTCTGACAGGTGTCCTGTGTATCGCTTCCCTTTGTCCAAAACTTGTCCCCTGACAGATGGCGGAGCTGCTAACTTTGGCCTCAACTTCCTCACCTTCATTATCCTTTTCAACAACCTGATACCCATCAGTCTCCTGGTCACACTGGAGGTTATTAAATTCATCCAAGCTTTTTTCATCAACTGGGTGAGTTGAAGCTACAGTGACCAATTTAGTGTAACTCTGCTGCTAAAAGGAGCATTTATTGGAGCGTTTACCTTTCTAACGGCTGTAAAATTTGTATGCACAGCCACATGCCACTTTTATGGTTTTCCTGGACAGTTTAGTATGATATTCATTTTATGGTCTGTTGGCTTTATCGTCAAATGATATTGTCAGTTGTAGATGCTACAATCAGTATTAAAACTGATTCCAATTACAGTCAAACAAGTAAGATAAAATAATCATATAAATTACCAAAATTCTGTGGATATTTCATCAGGGAAAATTTTGAGTATTCAGCTGAAGATAAAACTGTACATACCAAACATGTCAATTTTTAAAAATGTTCTTTTGTCTGTTCTTTGCTTCAGGACACTGATATGTTGTATGAGCCCACTAACACGCCTGCAATGGCCCGCACCTCAAATCTTAACGAAGAATTAGGCCAGGTAAACTTTCCATCTTCAGTTGAACCTCATTTGGTACTAATGCTTATTCAGAGGGCTCTTTTCTAATTTCTGTGCACTCTTTGTACCCACGCAGGTGAAATACATTTTCTCTGACAAGACGGGAACGCTGACCTGCAACGTCATGCAGTTTAAGAAGTGCACAGTCGCCGGTGTGGCCTATGGGTATGTCCTGCTTTCGCCCCTCGTTTCCCCGCCTTCCCGCTCACTTTCTCGGTGGTTGGCTCCCCCATCAGCTTAATTAAATGCAAGGTTTGCATCATAGTACATCTGGTGTTTTTTTTTTCCTTCTCCTTCCTCACCTTCCCATTAGCAGCTGCCTTGATGCCCCTCTCAACATGATCTATAAATAAAACATGGACAGACATTTGCTGTCTCTGCTCTCCTCCTTGCAGTCGCTTGTTCTTTGCTGGTCACTTCCTGTCTTTTGAAAAAAAAAATGTCCTCAGAAATTCTGGATGTACTAAATGCTATTATACAGTATAAACATAAGAAAATCAGTTTTCATAATCTAACTCTGAAGACAAAAACTAAATTTGGTTACTTTTTTTTATCATTTCATTAATCGGTTCTTAGTGTTATTCCTGCTCATGATGATCAGACTCAGCCTATGCAAAACAAGTGGGAGAAAAGAGAAGCAAAGCAAGTGCAGGCGTGACGGGACATGATTAATCCCATTAGGATTCAATTAAAAGTGTGATTGATGAAGTGCAGACCGAAGGACAAAAGACAGCTTTTCATCTGGAGTTGCTGCTGCTTGATGCCCTCATTAGACTTTATTGGTGAGCCCATTGTGGGCAATTGCAGCTTCTCTTTGGCACTCCTCAGGTAGACAGCACAACATGAAACAGTTTCTAAACTTTTTAATGATAAGATCTCTCATAAATCTTTACTGATAGGATTTTATTAGGATAGATGATGGTGATTACACCCTAATGCCAAATCTGTCTCTTTTTATTCACGTCTGAAATGAATTTATTGGTATCAAGCTTGACAACCAGTGTCGGACTCTACTTCTTCCAAAACTGAAGCAGCCGACTGTTTGTCCTTTCCAAAGTAGAAATGCTTTTGTCTGAAATCAGGACTCCAAATGAATGTTTCATATCACAGGGGAGGAGGAACGGTTCTGTTAAAGACATCAGTTGGTCCTTTGCTTTTCCATATTAGAGATTATGGATTGAAAGATAGTTGCAGATAGTTGCCTCTACAGGCAATTGACCGGTATCTATAACAACTTGTATGTCGAGTTCTTTTCAGAGATCAATCAGGAGTGTTCTTTCCTTTCATTTTAACATCAATCCCTCGTATTTTCACACTTTAAAGAGCAGCCTTACCACCAGCTTGTATCGATGAATACAAATTAAAGTACAAGCACGCACTTTGTTCTCACTGAGTAGCATGACTTGTAATTTGGAGGCAGCATACACCCACAAAAAGCCCTCGTGACACTGCCGCCTGCATGTTCCTCACCACAATTAAGAGCTGCTGTAATTAATAAAGCCATCCCCAAGGGAGCAGACATGAACTAATTCCACTGGATTGAAGGAAGAAAATCTGTAGGGGAAAATAAAGCTACTACTGTCATAAGGCTGAAAATCTTCCTGGGTGACAAATGTTAAGACGAGTGAATCCATGGTGTATTATATTTAATTTATTTTGTATAGTTATGTATGTATGCAGATATTTTAGCATTTGTGCAGACAGAATATTTTTTTGTCGTCATTACAAATTATGAGGAAAATTATTATTTTTTAAAATGTATTTATTTTCTTTATTGTCAAATACTAACATGCACAATCCCATCACCCTTATCTGTCCTCGTCGGTGAGCTAAGTTTAAAAACTTCAATTTTAGCAATGGTGAAGCTGCTGATGGTGCTTTCACTGACAAATACGAAATGAGAATGGTTTCTGTCTGTGAAAAAAGATTAATGAAAATTTAAACTTGGATGTCATGTCTGAAAATAGTAAATAAAATAGTAGAAATCTGTTTGTGTGTATATATATATGTGTGTGTATATATATATACACATATAGCTACTAATGCGTGAATAATTAAATTTATAGAGGCATGTAGTGATTAGTAGAGGAGGGCTGGCTGGGGCAGCTTTAGCAGCTAAAGCCTGCCAGCACCACCTAACCTCACAAATTAAGAAACGGTTTCCTCTTTAATTACTTATTTTTGTGAGATGAAAAATTAATGGCGATATTTCATACTGTGGAATCAGTATAAATAATTAGCATGCAATCTTCTCCAGTCTCTTCGGACTCTGGCTGAATTAAGTCAACAGGACACAGCCCGTGTGTTTCTCCATTTCCTGCCTTTCTGTGATGCTAATCTTCAGATTCAGTGTTGTTTGTGTGTAGCTGATCAAATGAATATGGAGGACGTGCACATCAGAACAATAGGGGAGAGAGAGAGAGTGCTGTAGTGCCCTATTGTCATACCTAACATGCTTTAACTTCCTCATAAACAATTTCATATTGGCTCCATTCCTGGCGTTTGAACATGCTAACAAAAGACTTTGTCATGAAGATGCTTTTTGTTTCTACCTTCGCTCCAACAGTCACGCCCCAGAGGCTGAGGAGGGTAGTTTTGCAGAGGATGACTGGTAAGATAATGGGTCCGAAATCATGGTAGTTTTCTCTGCTTTTGTGATGTGTTAGCACTGCTTTGCCTTGTGGAAATCGTGACTCTGAACACAATACCTCAGCGTGTGTTTGTTCCTCTTTTCTTCGTGTGTGAAGTCCTTTCCGGACTCGGTTTTGTATGTGAATGTGGCTCGTGAATCACCATGTGTTTGTTGATGTTAAAGGCCTAGCATTTATTCAGAGTATTTGTGGCTCTGTGCTTTTCAGAATAAGTATTGAACTGCATATTTTAATACTGTGGCTTCTGGGGCTTGTGTTCTACAGCAGGCTTGATTAATTGAGCCCCCATTTGTTACTAAGTGTTGCGCTGAGGCTGACGCTGTGCAGCTCATGCTGCAGTTAAAATCCCACTCACCTGGGAGATGGAAGCTTCTCACCCACTTACAGTCTCCCTTCATCACACACAGACAACATACACTCCCTCACACGGACGTACAAAGAGATCCATCTGCTTTAGTGTTGAGATTTGCAGCATGGGTGTGTCTATGCATGAAGAGTCGGAGCCTGTTTTAAAGTACGTGTTTTGTAGCGTTAAGCTGCTTTAAGAGATGCTGCCAGCCTCTATGAAATTATATTTCTTTATTATTAAGTTTTTCCTCAAAGTGAAATGGGCTCCATTTTTGCACAGAATTGATTAGAGAAATTAGGATCAGCTGAAAACAGATTTCCTTGATATCTGGAACAAACTAGAAAAGATTAAATGGCAACAAGGCTGTACAGGTTATCATGAAACATCTCACATGTCTTTGCGATAAGTTTGTAATGTCCTCCTCCAAACTGAATCAGCATAGCATGTTATTGGTTTGATCTGGGTCTGATCCCCGCTTATCGACTGTGAACAGCCAGCGCCCTTGTTCCCATAGCGACAGGACTTCAGCGTGCTGGCACGTAATCAATAACTTACCCCTCTTTCCCAGCCAGTCCCGTAGCTCACAAATTTCATCAAGCAAAAGGAGGGGGCGGGCTACGACACCTCTGCAGCAGAGAAAAACTTGAGGCTTCCTTCAGTGTAGGAGGGCTGGAAACACAAAAAGACGGCACTGTAAAATGTGTAAAACGATTAGAAAAACATGCCAACTTCCACATGCCTTTAAATCATGAATATTTAAGGTGGCTGAGACGTTCAAAACTTTGTTTTCTACAAAGTCTATAAAAATTTTATAGAACCCGATTGATTTCCCAAACATCCACACTTTGAAGTGTGCAAAACATGGAGTCCAGCCTTGCTTTTTGATAGCACCTCTGTCTTTTCCCTTCATGTGTTTTCTTTCGAATGCCTCCTATCTGTGAAGTAAATGGGTGTATTATAGCCAAGCTGGTGGGGTAACTGTCAGGGATGGGCACAAAATATATTGTGGGATTAGAAAGACTTATGGTTGCTAATGGCAGCCTCAGTAGCATGTCTATCAAACCTTAATGCCACGGGCAAAGCTGCTGTCCGCTTGATCTATAGCACTCTGTTTATCCCTGAATAAGAGATCGATGCCTGCTGGTGGCTGTATACAACATCGCTGCCTTCAGCTACTATTCAAGGGCTCAAAAAGGTTATTTTCTTCGGATCTGCGGAAAAATAAAACGTAGTTTTTCCAAAGTATCGATTGGACTTTGATTAGTTTTCCTGTAATTTCACCATCTTCAGCGCCTAGCTCTCACACACATTGCAGCGGGCTTTGCTAGTCAGCTAGGCGTGTGAAGTCTCTGTGCATTATGAAATAATAATGTACCACTGCTGTCCTCAAAGGAGGGTCTTCTTTTGCCTGCATGGGCAGAATCTAAAACAGTCACACCGTACATCTATCCGCTGGATTCCAGGGATCAACATTTGCCCTCATTTGCACGTTTTTAGTCTTTGCTGCACAGGTCCTGAGGCAGCTTCAGTTTTTTTTTTTTTTACTGACAAGCAGCTGCTGATTTTTCAGTCAGAGATACCAAACAGGAAATGTTTCTGGATTTCTGAGTGTTTTCTATAGTAAAATCCATGGGGTGGGAGATTACAGCCTTTTCCAACGCTGTGTGGACAGAGCAGGCATGTTAGAAAAGTCTGTACCATTCCTTGACTAAACAATTAAAAAAGGCCAGGAAGCACAAACTGGGAAACCAGAGCGCTATTTTTACACTTGGGTGTGTATTTCAACTTCAGAAGGTTTTGTTAGAAAGGAGAAGCACAGAAGAAGATAAAAAGTGTCTGTCTCTTTCTAAAAGACACGTTTGTCTCTTGCTTTTGACAACTGTGGAAGCCTGAAAGTTGGAGCTTTTTTTAATGTTTTTCTTTTCACCCTTTAATGTCCATCATTATTAGACGTTGCTCTGAGTGGGATGCTAATCATTTATTTCTTCATATCTAGTTAAGTCTGCTGTCAAAATGTCTCCCTTGGCTGTCGGTGTTGTACAGTCATGCGATCAAATGCTGTCTTATGTTTTAACATCTCCATCTCCTCTTTCCAGGCACAGCACGCAGGCATCAGAAGAGGCTGGATTTAATGACCCAAGCTTACTGGAAAACCTCCAAAGTAATCATGTAAGTAATATCGGGGATCTCCGCCACCTTTCTCCTGTGGTTTGCAGCCGCTAGGAAAAATTAAGTAGGATTTTGCTTCCAACTGTGTCAGGTTGCGCATTGTCTCCCTTCCGCTTCATGTCGGGCCTCTTTGTCATTTGCCTTGATATCTGATGAATTGGAGTTTGTCTGAAGTGTGTTTTATCACTGTCCTGTCGTGGAAAAACTACATGGCCAGTAAATTTAATGTCAGCCTGACTAAATCATGCTGAGGGGTGGATTACAGTTTCACTGCACAGAAAAAAAAACAGGCAAACAGCCCAGTTAGCCGATTCTGACAAGATTGAGGGATCTTCCCGTGCTTTTTTCATCGGAGAGAGGAAAAAAACCCAAAGGAAATCTGACAAGAAACAATCTATCTTATAAACACACACAGACACCGTTATTCATCATTGTTTCTGGGCCTTAAAAGGTGTAGTAATGACCATCTGCAGTCATGAATTGAGTGAGGACTGATTGATTGGCTGTTGAGTCACTCATATGAGGAGCGGAGTGGTGGAGGCAGAATGTCACATCTAATTACATTCAGTTTTGCTGCCCAGGGAAAGTTGCAATCTTTCTGTGATGTTTGCTTTGTTATGACAGCAGAATCTTTCCACACATTGAGTTTGTCTGAGGGCTGCTTTGGCTTCCTATTGATAGCCCCACAGCTTCTGCTAATTACCCTCCCCAGTTTTAAGCCGCAGCCTCTATGGATTCTGCCACGTTGCAGCGTATGATCTTTAAAAGTAGTTCTTGCTGTACCAACTTCCACTTAAAATCTAGTTTGACACCTCCAGTCGTTATAGTTTGACTTTTGATCATTGGAGTCATTTTCAGGTCTCAGTTGGTTCTATTCTCCAACTCCACAGCTAGATATCACCAAGCCCTTTCTGCTGAGTGCATTTCTGTATTAAATGGCTTTAGAAAGTGAATGGATGAAAGGGTGTAACCATGGCGGCAAAATATGATAATCAGCTAATTTTCCTTGAATGTTTCGAAGTTTGTGGAAATCTTCAAAAGCAACTTGAAGTCACTGCTGCTTTAACGTGGAAAAACAATTTTGTGTGGCTGCAGGCGGTTTTTTGGACAGGATGTTTACACTCTGTTAAAAAGCAGATGGCAGAGCAGCGATGAGTAGTTTTATCAGCCCTGACAAAAATAAGCAGAGCCTCTTGAGCTTTTAATGTTCCTTGGCCAGATCCCGTGCCCGCAGAGTTTTGTCAGCCTTCGTGTTTGTTTAGTCACCGCCACCAAGGCACCCTTCCCCGTACTCTCCAGACCCTTCAACTGTTTCCACGCGGGCCATGTCTGAAGCGATGAGTGTCTGTCAGTTACCCAGGAGTTAGTGGGAGGGGAAGCTGCCAGCACAGCCACGATCATATTAGCTGTCACATCTAATTGTGCCACCAGAGCAAAGTTCAGTTGGCCTTTACTCTTTGCCTAATGTCTTTTTCCACCATCCTGTATTCATTACGCACATGCTTATGAGCTCTATCATTGTGAAGACCCTCACGGTTTTAAAAAGGCCAACCAGCCTGTTTAAAGCTCACTACAATTTACAAATGGGATAAAAATGTTAAGATATGGAAAAACTTGAGTGCAGTGAAACACACCTCGGCCTGGTTAGACAGGGATAATCTTTTTAATTGATCTAAACTGGTCTCATCTTCCAGTTTAGTTTGGATCAAATCCCTGGCCTACATGTATTTGAGGGAGACCCTGACCCACAGAAATGATTGTGAGATTATAGAGCAAAAACCTGTTAAATTTGGAGTGTAATTCTGTATTAAGAAGCAGTGTCTGTGTGAATGGGAACTGTAAAACATTTAGTAGAAGCTAAGTATGGCTAAAATGTGCCATGTAAGAGTGGTTTATTTGACCATTTATTGTGGTTTTGCCGACCAGTGGCAGGACTACATCTTAAGTTGACACTTCCTCCATATTGGGTCCTCCGTCAAGTATTCACACACACACATTCTCTCTGACCCTCACACACGTACGCTGTGTCCTTCAGAGGATACCTGTCAACCCAGAGCAAATTAGCATGCTTCTAGTCGAGAGAGGAGACTCAGAACCACCTGGAGTGTGTTTTTGCCTCCTCTTAACCTCATCATTTATTCTCTCCTTCATTCCTCTCATCTTACATCTCACAGCCTACAAAAAGATTAGATGTAATATCAACACCAGGGAGTACGCAGAAGAGGAGAGAAACAACCTCATTTAAAGTAATTTAAAACCATTGCTACGTTTGAGCATTTGCTGGCATCATTCAGAAAGGATTGCTATCCTGGTGGGGGCTGCTTTGTATGTTTCTGCAGGCTAGTGAAAGCTTTTATACATAGGTGGTTGCGCTTTGTTGGCAAATGTTTGCAGCCAGGCTAAAGTTGGAACTCTTGCCGTGTTATGCAGAGTGCATGTGACCCTGGAGGCTGCTGATAACTCAGCCTCAGCTGCAGCCGCCAAGTCCAAGCTGGTGGACTTTTAGTCTCAGATAGGAGCCTCAGCAGATTCCTGTCTGAGGGCTATTTAGTCCTACTGTTCCCTTCATTAATGTGAAATACCCTCAGAATCTAGGTTTGGCCTTTTCCTTCCCCATTAACTAAAGCAAGAGGATGTAGAAGCACAAGTAAAATTGTGTCACTCGCCGGAGTCTTGAATGTAGAGACTGATTCTTTTCAATACTAACAACCTTTTTCCAAGATGAGATTATTTTTTTCCTTTAAATTTCCCCACATGTCCCGCACCTCCAGTGAGCATGCTGTGTGTGTGTGTGTGGTGTGTTTTCAGTGCACACCGGCCGTTGGTAATGCTGGCTGGCCGGTCTGTCAGATAGCACTCTCTTTGCCTTCGTTCTTCAAAGTCACTAAAATGTTTCTAGCTTTTCTTTGGCCAAATGTTTCATCAAACATCATTCAAAGTCAAAGTGTCCTTTCCACTTTCTGTAGCCTACAGCGGCCGTTATCCTGGACTTTATGACCATGATGGCCATCTGCCACACTGCAGTCCCCGAGTGCATGGACGGAGAAATCACCTACCAAGCCGCATCTCCAGGTATTACACATTCTAAAGGAATGTTGCTGCTGGGTATACAGTATGCTGCTCTGGCATTATCCCAGTGAGTGGTAATCACTCAAACATGATGATTTTTTTTGTTGGAAGAAGAAAAATAAAAAACTCAAACGTGGTCCCAATCAAAAACGAGTATCACTTATTTTATAACGGGTGTTTGAGATCTGTTTTTTAAGGCTAAATATTATGAAGCATCGAATTTAAAGCAACTTCTGCAGATTATCTTTAGTTTTTTTTTGTATTTAGTATTTCTGTATTTTATTATTTGTGCTCAAACTAATGCTACACAAATAGTCGAAATGAACCTGGATACTGGTGCTTTTTTCACTGTGAAAGCATCACAGCTTTAAAACTAACCGCCCCTGCACCGGAACAACTGGAACACACCACCACAGCCTCCAGGCCTTAGGATTACGTAAATGTCCCTATAAAATCCTAAGACCATGAGAGAGAGTGCCAGGAATCATATTATCAAATGAAATGTTCCTCTTACAAATGGAATGCTGTTTGTCACTTTGATTTCTTCACCTCAACCTCAGTCTATCACATTCCCCATTCGCTTTAAAACAAACAGCTGTCAGTCAGCAAAACAGGCCTTTCAATTTGGTTGTTTTTAACTGCAATTAGAAAGCAGTGATGAAGAAACATTAGAGGTCAGGAAATGTATCCCCACCCTAAAATATGGTGGATTAAAAAGAATACAAAAAAAACAAATTAGATTCAGCATATTCTCATTAGTCTGATAGCTCTTTCAGGATTAGTACTATGTAAATTTCCTGGAAATAAATGACCCTCATAATGATCTCTGCATGATTAAAGACACAACACTGTGATCCAGATATTAGCAAGTAGGCAGCTCTCCTGATGAAAAAAAAGACTGCAGTAAATAGCGGACCTTTAACTGGACCCAAACGAGAGGATTCACAGTTGCTAATACTTTTTAGAATATGACTAACACAGATAAGCAAAGTTAAGTTGCCCTGTAATAATGTCAGAGAATAATCACAAAATGCTTTACAACTGCTCGCTATGTAAATTTAGCTTTAATTACTTTCATGTCGTCTTACAACAGCCATGATCTTATGAAGCGGTGTTGGTTCTGGCTGAAAAGGGAAAGCCAGAGAAACTGCAAAAACAAAACAGCATCCAGTCTCCACCCTTACCGAGGGAATTTGTTCAAATAAATTTGATTTATGTTCCAACTTTGATTTTTCTAATTGCAAAGTTCAAATTCCAGGCTTAGTGTTGACGGCATTGTGCCTGCCGTGTGTTCAACCAGGTCTGTTGTTCATCTGTCACAGTGAGCTCTTTTCTTTGCTTCCAAGATGAAGGAGCTCTGGTGAGAGCAGCTCGAAACCTTGGCTTTGTGTTTTCTGGACGGACCCCAGACAGAGTCATTGTGGAATCGGTGAGTCAGGAGGACGCCCGTTTGATGAGAGCCGAGCAAGCCATTGTGCCGATAGCCGGGCCCACTCAATCTGTCCCCAAGAATGTCTGTTGTGCCTTTATGCAGGACGGAAGACTATTGGCAAAGCTGTGATCTCAGACACTGAGACTATCGACAGAGGTGTAAACTAAATCCAATTAACTGATGTAATATACAAGCAGGATTTTTTGTCATTACAAATGAGGACAAAGTTAAAGTTCTGCACGTCATTAGCTTTAGAAAATCTGGGGTAATTGAATAAAAGACACAGAAAAAGCTACCTCAAGAGCATTAGTTATTATCGTGTTATTATTTTGATTTGAGTGCTTTTTTGGGTTGCGTGTAAGATGCTAATGCAGGAAGTAGGTCAGCTAAGCCTAGCATAAAAGCCTGAGACTGATAGAAATAGACTATTAGACTATTTTACATTGTATACTTTCATATGATTAAAGGATAACGTTTATTATTAAGCCATTTATGTTTTCACTTTTATGTGCTATTTAATTTTGTTTGTCTAGTATCATTGAAGTTGACAGTGTTTTACTGTTCACAGCTTGCTACTGCCAAAAGAAACACAATTCTTAGTAGTCCTTTTGCCCACACGTGCCATCCCTGTAGCAGTTAAACAGTCTGTAGCAGAACTAAACAGTGCATCGTTTCCTCCGACGTCCCTGAACAGAGCTCGGGCTGGAAGTAATAAAGATTAAGCTGCTTTTATTTCTGTGGGGCACATGAATGTACAAACAGCACATTTGTTGTGATTACATCCACGCTGAGGCCCTCCACTCCAGGCGTAGGTCACTCATCCTGTTGTTAGCTTAATTGGCTAACCTGATGGGTGTAGCCAAAGACCCTGAAGCAGAAAGGCTAGGACAGTTTAATTTATTTTATTATGCTATACACCCCAGTGTAGGACATCTTGTCTCCTGGATGTTTTTTGCCATTTTTAATCTTTATTAGACCTTTTAAGTCTCACTGCATCTACTTAATCACTCTGTGTTGTACCTAGCAGGCTACACAATTAAATAAGTTAATTGAATTTCACCTTGTTATTCCCCCTCCATCTTCTCAGTGGAGGCAACTGATAAACACATTTAAAGGACAATTAGGGCTGATTGGAAGAGGAATCAGAGCTGGCTGGTGCTGCTTGAGATTAAATGTCTCAGAAGATTCAGGCAGAGGTATTTGTTTTTTAAATCACTTTAACGGGAATGTCTCTTCTGTCTAGCTCGGAAAGGAGGAACAGTACGAACTGCTTCATGTGCTGGAGTTTACAAGGTTTGTCATTTACAACAGTAATCATTAGTTATTAAATCACTATGTTGTTTGATATTATTATCAGTTATTTGATATCAGCTTAATAAGAGTTGTGCTTTAAATAGTTTCATTCTTGGCTAAGAAGTGATGCCTGCCCCTCAAACGGTGCAATTTCAGCTTTTCCCTTAATCCACTGTTTCACTTTCCCTCTATCTCCATTTTTGGCTTTTCCTACGCTAGTACAAGGAAGAGGATGTCTGTCATCATGCGCACCCCATCTGGGAAGATCCGCCTTTACTGCAAGGGAGCTGTAAGTGTCTGTCTCTCACCATGGCAACACACGACAGCCCATCACCATCATCACTGCACACACAAGTGTGGAAGGCTCCTCAACACTCATTACCTCTTACTCCTGTCAGGAAATCTATTCACTGATCTGCAGGATACAGAACGCAGCATCTCACATGCGATGGATACAAAAATATTGTGTTTTACGCACAAACGTTAGATTTTCAGTCCAGCCTTGCAGAAATCTGCAGAACCCCCTGTATAGATGCAATACTATGCTCTCATGTTATATTTTAAATTCAGTTCTAAGGTTTGAAGGCCATTTTTAATGTGCGTGGAAGCATTTTGTAGAGCTCACATAGGCTCCTTCCTCTCCAGGTGTCAGTCATCAGTTTGTGTTCGTTTCCTTTCAGGACACAGTGATCTATGACCGACTGGCGGACAGCTCCAAGTACAAAGAGATAACATTAAAGCACCTGGAGCAGTTTGCTACTGAGGGTAAGTGGGCAAACAGCGCCCCCTGCCTCTGGATGCTGCCATTACACAGAGTACGCCTCATTCATTTTGGTTGCAATCACCACATTATCCTTCGTTGTTGCAGCAGAACAAGTTTTCTTTGGTCCTGTGCCACCATTCAGTGATCTGTTTTGTTTATGTGAGGTATTTTGCAGGAATAGGGGGAAAAAGGCACAGGGTACATGTTTGGAACGCCCGCAGAGGCAGTCCGTTGTGCTCTGTGTCCATACTGCCCCCTTGTGAGACATCAGCAGGATAATGTCATGCGGAATATTTTATGTGGACTAAACATAGCATAGCCTTATTCAAGGTTTTCATGAAGAATATGTTGGATCAAGGCTTTTATTTTTATTAGATGTATGTTCAAATGCAACTTGTGATGGAGTATTGTTGAAACCCAATTAGCTGATGGGATCATTTCTCTGTATTAGGTGGTGTTTTGATCAGGAATTAATATCCTGTTGTTATCCTAACAACAGTTCTAAAAACTAAATAAAATTTGGCACAAAAAAATAATGGCACAGAACAAAACACTAGGCACCAAGGTTTAGCAGTCACAAATGAAGCTTTTACGCATGATACTTACTTCTTTCATGGAACTTAAACTAACCAGATGAGTACAGAGAAGCAGAAGGAAAAAAATCCTCTTATTTATCATAATTTTTGTATTTTTTAAATATATTTACCGTGAGTTCATCACAAATTAGTTCAGCATAGACTGAATCTGGGCTACACCCATAAACGGTACAAAAAAAAGTCATGACGTGTGATCGGGATGTTGTGTTTGCAATCTTCCAGGGCTGCGCACTCTGTGCTTCGCCGTGACAGACATCAGCGAGTCAAACTATCAGCACTGGCAGGAGATCCATCAGAGAGCCAGCACCTCCCTCCAGAACAGAGCCCTGAAAATGGAAGAGACCTACGAACTAATAGAGAAGGTTTGCCAAGAAACACTGATTATTATGTTCCCACTGCTCTCACCCTTCATAGTCCCCCAACATTTTTGTCTCAAGTCCTGGGTTTTCATGTTGGTATGCATTTAGCTGGTTGTGTGAAAGGAAACTTTTCCTTTGGTCAGTCACTGTAGTACAATTTTTTTGTTAAACTTTTGACAAAGACCTCTGGACTCGACTTGAAACTAGTAGGGACTAATGGTGATTAGGCTCGCAAACATTCAAAAGTTCAAATTTGAGTTAATTTTTGTGGGGGTCTGCGGGTTTCACGAGGAGGTAGAATTGGTTTTCTGAGAGGTCAGGCTGCGTGAGTGTGTTAATCAAACACAGGAAGCCACGGCTGTATATCAGCTGCTTGGCATGTTCTCCGTGCCTGCCCCTGACTGCCTAAAACAAATGGAGGCAATCAATCACGGGCCGAGCATGAAAGCTGTCCGAGAGGAAAATGTAATATGCTCTGCCTAATGAGCAGAGTGTGGCACTGCCGCCGCCACAGATTGGGGATTATTGCCGCTTTGGCCACCCACACCTAAACATGTTCTCAGTAATGCCACATGAGGGTGTGATGGAGCTGCAGGAAGATTTTGACCCTTGTCTGAAGTCACATCACAGTTTATGTGAATGGGAAAAAGCTCCTGGCTTTGAGCGGGACCTTGATGGCTTACTATAGCCAATGTTGTTTTTTTTGGGATAGTAAGAAAAGAGTGGGTTTGTGTGTGATGAGTGACACATGCCCGACTTAGATTTTTGCCTGTCACATGACGTTTTAAAGGCCTTCCTTTGTTATGATCTCCCCTCACTGACCTTCCTTCCCGGCTTTCTCTGCGGCAGAACCTGCAGCTCCTCGGGGCCACCGCGATAGAAGACAAGCTCCAGGATAAGGTACCCGAGACCATCGAGACTCTGATGAAGGCTGACATTAAGATCTGGATCCTGACCGGGGACAAACAGGAAACGGCCATCAATATTGGTGAGCAATGACAGTCAGACAGCTTTATGGTCTTTGTGGTTGGTTTTGGATGCTAATCTGATGCATTGTGCCTTCCATTTCTAAACTCATTAGTGGTTAACATCTTGACAAAGCTGGATTTAGCTTTAATTGAAATGATCCCAAAAGATACTTGTCATACAGAGAAAGCACACTATTGAGTCTTGATACAAGCTGTTAAGTGCAGGAGACCTGTGCCGGGATGGCATGTTGCAACATCAGTAGCTATTTGCTCTGTGCACACTTTTTCCTCTGTGCTCTGCATTAGGGCACACTTGTTTGAGCACTTCCTTACTTACGGGTAGACCAGGCAGCCCTGTGGTCATTCCTCATCCAGCACAGCACGATAAACTACTGACAGCTTAAAGATTGCTCAGTCATACATATCTGGTGAAAGCATCTGTTGCAGGATGATGTATGAGCGCTCTACTGTGACATGAAATAAATAACACGGATATGTACACAGGCAGGCGGCTTTCACGTGTTCAGCGCCCTTAGAGATTTGAGTCTTGGAAATGTTGTCAGAAAAGTAAATAACTTACTCTGGTTGACCATTTTTATATTCATTTCCGTCGTCCTTATTTGCCCTAGAATCATGAGTTTCAGATGTGGGTAAACACCAAAAAAAAAAGGTTTAACCTTGAATACAAGTCATTTCATAACACAAAGTTTAGAAAAATAGATATCAAAAGTACCTCCATTTGTGGCTGCACCTACCACTGAGACCTGACTGAATCAGCCCTTTGTGCCCGCCATGCCCAGATGTGAGGGAGCTCAGTGGAGGCTCACGCTCACTGGAAGCTTTAAAACATTTTTTTTTTTTTAAACGTCTACTGAGTTGCTCTGTAAAAACTCTGCTGAATATTGACTTTATTTTTTACTGTTTTCCTCATTGAAAGATGATCCGCATTGCTAGTGGTAATGGTGCGCCGTGCCAGATTAGTGATGAATTAAACTGAAGACATTTTTTATTATTTACTTTACCATAAGGCCTTAACCATCCAAAGGCCTTTCTGGCACAGGGAAGTGGGGCTAAATGATTCTGAGATTGCATATTTATAAATGTACTAATAAGCCTGAACTATCAAAACATAAGGCAGTGTAGCCGCTCTGAAAATCCGTGTCTGGCTGTCTGAGGAAAGAGCAATGTTCACTCAGGGACACGCCTAAAGTACTGCGAGCTGTTTGATTAGGAGGCTGGAGTGGTTTGCAACACTTTTCACTTCACTAATGCTCTGGCAAGTTTGGCCACAGAGCACATCAAGTAAAAAGACACTAAAGAGCGAGCACAATCCCATATCTGTCCGTGCTGCCAGGGCTCCAACCTGTAAACCCTTTCCACTGTCACATTTTCGCCTCCCTCTCATCGACCTCTTAAAATCTAAATCACAGCATTATCCGTTTTGAGAGGACAAACAAACAAAATTGAAATTGTTGCTCCCTCAGCGACTACTCAAATGACTGTAACAATACTGTCGTTATACATTCTTGAAGACCTGTGGGAGCAGTGTTTAGTTCCGGCTCGGATGGAGAACGGCCAGGAATTTAACTTTGGTGAAACACTTTTTTTTTTCTTTTTTTCTAAAACGGCACTCAAATGAGGTAGAAGGTAAACACATTAAGCGGAAGGGCTGTGGTAGGAATTGACAAGGGGGGGAAGGAATAGAGTCAGTGCTGAGATGGGGAGATATTTTCCACCCAGCAGAAAGTTTTTGGATGCTTGCACCTTTGCACTTATGAAAACAATGTGGCAGACCCCAGACCCCGAGCCTGTTTGGTTTTGACTGTGGAGGTGAAACGCGCTCATTTCCTCTGCGTGTGTGCTGTGTGTCAGGCTAAACTGTGTGTTTTTGTGCAGAAGCTTATCTCATTTTCACTCGCAGAAAATGCCACCCATGCGTTCACAGAGCACAGGTTTTTGTGGTAACCCCCTTAAAGAAAGTCAAATCTCCTTCCAGACAGAAGCAAAGTGTCGAATCCCACAAATATTTATGTGGTCATGCCACAGATGGCAGTGTTTTCATGCAGCCACAGCACTAAACTAAGAGTTTCAGTCTTGGTTCATGAAGCATTTCTGTTTTCCCCAATGAGAGTCTCTCTCTACCACCTTGCTGGTGACCCTGAGTCTCTGTCCTGACCAAGAACTCAGGAGAATTCTCCCTAGAGAGCAATGTTGGGTAACCCAGAGTTGTAACTGCCTGTTAAAACAGGAAACTGACAAACTCTTGTAAACCAAACTCATTAGTCATGTCTTAGCTGTGAGCTATAACTTTAATTGGAAGCACTTAGAATGTTGTATTGCTTGGATCTAGCTCATTTTAGCAGTTGCATTTCTTGCGCTCCTATAAGTGACTTTAGATTGAATTATTCAACTTTCTGGTCTTTCCTTTTCTGCCTTGGCTTTTATGAATTTATGATTTCATTTTGTAACTTTTTTTTCTCCCATTACTGTAGGACATTCCTGCAAACTCCTGACAAAGAACATGGGCATGCTCGTGATCAATGAAGACAGTCTGGATGTAAGTATACAGATTACTCTATTTAAAGCAAGACACTTCTTCTCCTTTGACGTGCTAAAAAAGAAAAAGGAAAAAAAAAGCAAGTTGACTCAATCAGTGTCATTCATAAATTCTCATCCATAATTTTATTTTTAAACATCGAGTACGACATGTTGTTGATAGATTTTTAAAAAAATGACTCAATACATTTTCTCTTCAGTATTAGTAGCAAACAAGAGTCCTCCGTTATCAGTTATTAAACTGCCGAGCACTTCTTTAGACGAGCTTGAACAGTACAAACAGGTCTTTGCACAGCGTAAAGAATACTTGCTCTGTTTACCTTAGGGGTAAAAATGTGATGCCATGAGATATCATTCAGCATATTAAGTGTCTTCACTCAGTCTCTGCGAAACAAGACTGTCCTGAAACTTGAATGATGAGGCCACAGGGTGCCCTCCACACAAAGCCACCACACATCCTGAACTCTGGGTTTAACATCTTTTAGGACACCCAGCAGTGAAGTCTGTTAACCCCCCGGCAGGAGAGCCCTGTCTGTTGTTGCTGAGATTGAAAAGGGCAAGTCCCGGCAATTTAGGCGGGGGGAAAACAAAGTATAGGTTCTACGGCTGAGACTCTGCCGGTCTCGGGCCGTCTGAGACGAAGGGGAAAATGGCGAGAAAGTCGGGGATGTTAGGGTTTGAGGTGTTTCTGGGTGATGACGGACGGCCTTCACTCTGTCAGCTAGTCGTTAAGCGTGATAAATGGAGCAGAGGTAGAAAGTCGGGGCCGGTGCATTCATGAAGCACACGGACTAGTGCTTTGAAATGTCAGCTCCCATTCGGCTGTGGTTGAGCAGATGCTTACATAAGGCAGTTTGTTAAAAGGTAGAAGGAGAAAGCCCTCCACCAACTCTGGAGGCCCAGCCAACAGAGACCCTGGCAGCAGGGCTGGTCGTACTCCTCTGAAAGAGATTTATTAGAAACTTTTGTCCAATCCAGTGCTCCGAAATCGACATTGAACGGAAAGCACATTGTACATTTTGTTTAATTGGACTTTTTAATCGAAAATTTTCAAGTTAAACTCCTATCAAGGGACTTTTTGTAAAGAGTTGTGTTTTAATCACTTTGAGAACAGGTAGTGCTTTCTGATCATTTATATTCTCATCTGCAAAGTTTAGCTTGAGCTCTACTCTAACTTTCTTGGAAAAAATAGGAACAGAATATAATTATTTGTCGGAACCTCATACGTCCTAAACTGGTATTTTTGCACAAGTTGAACTAAGCTGACACATCTCGGCCTCCAGATGATGACATTACATGCTTACAGATTCCATATCATGAATGTCACGTCCTGTTGGCTATATCACTCAGGGTCTCTATCAACAATAGCACTCAGTCTTGATGGGACACATATCTGAATGGACACCACATAGCCATTCCAAAACCAAACACTAGCTCGTCACATAAGATGAACTGCTCATTATAGCCATAACAAAGAGGTTTTAGGAGGAGACATGTAGCATTAGTGCTAAAATACCTCAGTGGAAATTAGGGGGGAAATGACAGTCCTACTTCAGGAAATGGCAAACTTTCCTTATCACACTGTGATGAATTGGTTATGTACCAAGCAAAGTGAATTCATTCTCCTACCCGGTTATAGAAAAGCTCAGGCATGCCCTGACACTGAGATGTAATCTCCAGTCATGCTGTTAACACAGATGGAGCATTTGCACTTGAGTGTTACTTTTTCCTTAACACACACATACACGCATACACACCCGCCTGCCCACTGCTCACCATCTCATGCTGTTTTACAGACCCATCAGGGATGGTTAAGTCCTCACAGCTGCTCTCTGCCTGTATCCTCCCGCTCGGTTTTTCTCCTGCGTTAATCCATCATCTCTCTCTGTGCGCGCCTCTCATTCTCTTTCTCTGGCTTTGTGAAACGAAAAGCCCCTCTGTCCAAATATTTCCCTTAAGCTGGGGTTTCAGAGTTTTGTTATGCCAAGCGAGCATTGCCTGGTCCCCCTGGTACAATCTGAACGCACTGACACATCTGACCTTAACACCGGACGGGACCTCTCCCTCCTTCGTTCTGTTAACGGCGACCAGTTTTTAATGATTGCAGCTGTCTCTGCATCCATGTGGTACCTCGGGCAAAAAAAATGTGCAATAGATTTTATCTTTATATTTGACCTCGATGATAACTAATAAATCTATTATAATCCATTTAATAACTTAGGCTTTCTTAAATGTTTTGTGCATATGCTACTTTTATTCACCAATTACTTTACCATCTGAGATAGGGATGTCTGAAAGATGAATAAAGTCATGATCTCACTAGCTTGTCCATTCAGACCACATGCCACAGACCACGTGGGGACTGTTAATGCGCTCATCAGTCACATGTTTGGAGCTTCTAATCATCGCTCGTCACCGTGGTTGTTTAAACTTCCAAACTAACAGGATCCATCCATAGAAATCGTCATTGTTGCCATCTCGTGACCCATGTTGAGTGTAATTGATATGAAAATCAAAACAAACATCCTCAATATTGAGAGCAGCAGCACAATCGGATTGGCAGCAGGAGTTGACAGATGTGTCTATTTCACGCTGGTTTAAATAAGCGATGAATACATTTAATACGGTTTCTTTATCCTTCAATACACAGCCACAGTTTTCATTATGTTGGCTGCTCAGCAAAACATGAAAGGGAACCCCCCTTTTTTTTTTTAAAGGCTGAGAAATGTCTTTGAATTATTGCCTTTTAAAATTTATTTCTCAGACAGTGTAGGATCTTTGTTATTTCTTAATCAGGTTGCCAGATTTGGACTTTGCAGGAATCCTCTCTGTAAACCCCTGACAGCAACTATTCAAGTGAGGAGCACTCTCTGGGACTTACGCAGGTCATTATCCAAGAATGCTGTAAGAGGACGACACAAGAGCAAATACAAAGAGTTTTCCACAAACCTCCTGAACAGAGAGGTCACATTGGACCTGGCCAAAACATTTTTAGAGGTCAGACCAGTTTGGGCAGATAAGATCAGGATCAGTAAAATCAATGATTGTTTCAAAAAGAGCAGTGCGTTTGCATCAACTGTAACAGCGTTATGCCAGAGGCATTTGACTTTGAATGATTTTGATCTATGAGACGCAGCTCCGTTCTGGAGTGGATGAAAGTGTGTGCGTAGTGCCTGTTCCACTTCAGCCAAGCAAAGCACAGATTGCAAAAGCAGCTCAAAGTTAAAGACGAGGAAGTTGCAGCCATGGCCGAATCGACTGCCTGTAACTGAGCTGCATTTTCACAAAGACTAAACTAAAAGTAGTGAGTAGCTGGATCATCTGCTGCACAGGAGATTCTCCATTCATTGGCCATGTCCACTGTTTGTAGACTTCATCTAGTAAAGAGTTAAAACATGTTTTTATTTTATTTTTGTCCCTGAAAAAGAGCATTTTTCACATCAATGAAATGTAATTATGAACTCAACCATTTAAAGGTGCACTTTAAGCCACATTGATACAACAGAGGAGCCTTCGATATTATCTCGCTTTGTTTTGATTTGTCCTTTCATTGCCCTTTGCTAACAAAATTCATCTTCTTATGGCTGTTTCAATGTAATTATTTTAGCTGCTATAATCAATACTGTATTTATTTTTGTGTACGATAATTTATCATAATCAGGCACCCTATAATGCTTTTGAAGAACCGTCCAGCTCGACAAAATACATGCGTTTGTCTGACAATGGTTCACATTTCCTCCCACAGCCTTTAACACCAAGCTTTGAAATTTGAGGAGCTGGTTACAGCTCAAGTTTGTGAAATGTTTTTCATCATACAGGCAACAAGGGAAACCCTCAGCCACCACTGTGGAATGCTTGGAGATGCCCTTTACAAGGAAAACGACTTTGCTCTCATTATTGATGGGAAGACTCTCAAATATGCTCTTACCTTCGGAGTGCGCCAGTACTTCCTGGACCTTGCCCTGTCCTGTAAAGCTGTCATATGCTGCAGGTAAGATTTAACCCCGAAACATTCAAATAAACCTGAAATGTATCTGAAGAGAAGATGCAAGGCATTTAATTACAGCCGCAAATAGAGATCAGATTTTTGCAGAAGGACAAAACATGGGAGTGATTTAAAAATCCTAACCTGGTGACGTCATACAGCCAAATCAAACTCTCTTTAAAGTTAGTGTGGTGTTGAAATTGTTATTAAATTAATAAGATCGAATCAACCTGGAAAGTATTACCCCTCTACCACAAAGGGCTGACAGTATTTTTATGGCAGCTGCTTAAAAAGTGCAATGATCATAAATTACGGTGGCAACTTTGAACATTAGGAAGGTACTCCGCTGACCTGCGCAAGCCGCATTAATAGTAGGAAGCACTTAAGTACCCAAGCAACCGTGACAAAAGTTTAGGGCCAGACGTTGGCACCATTTTTTTTTTTTTCCAGAACAGCTGAATTCGTTTACATGCTGCTATATTACTCCATGCATAATACCACATTTCTATTTATTTTCTCCCCTCACTTCTACCTGCCTCTGCCTTGAGCACACTGCGGGCATTAAGGTACATCGAGGATGAATGAGGCCTCTTAAACCTAAGGGAACATAAACATTAACAGTTTAACAGCTAAAGACAGACATGCAGTATACAGCCTTATCTCCAGAGGCTTATGTAGACTTTGGTGCAGAAGAAGGAGGCTCCCCATGTTTTAGACTACAGAATTTGTCACGGGGCATAAAGGTTGGGGCCTTGAATATGAATTAAAGCAACTGTCATAACCAAAGTACAATATTTATCTTTTGTTTCTGAAGAAGTGCTTTTAAAAGGGGCTCTTAGTGAATTCCCAAACTGTCCAGTCATTTTCACTGCCGTCCAGTACTATGTTACAAACATTATTTCATGTAATTTTTTACACTGATTTGAAAATTATCCTTAAATGAAAAAACAATTGAAAGATTTGAAGAGAGCCATGCATGACGTACAATCTCTGGTCATTATAAGGGGTATTCATGTCTGTTTTTGTAAAAAATGCTTTATTATATCTACTTTAATGCTGTGAACTTGGAGTCCAGACAGCAATGTGTAAACCCTCAGTGGGAGGAGTAATTGTTTCCTAAAAGAGATGCAGACAGACGTGCATTTCAGCCCATAAATAATGTCAGCACCTGACTCGCCTCACACTGAGGAGCTGGATTGGAAAGCTGCACTCCTGTAGACAGTTCCACTTATACTAACCTCATCCCACCCTTAAGTCATGGCAAGACTCTTCACATCGTGTTAGATATTGCAGATTATCGGACACACTGCCCAATCAAAATATCTGTCTCAAGACATAGAAACCTTATTATTTTACTGTTACAAATGGAAAATTCCTTTGCTCCACATACATACAGTATATCACCAGTCCCCTTGTACTTCGAGGCTCACTGCATTTTAATATCTTTCAGAATAAATTAGTTTGCTCGGTCGCTTTTATAAAATGGGATGATACAAGTTCCTGGCTGTATTTAAGTGTAATTAAACCAGCGATTCTTGTTGAAGACCAAAAAATATACATAGTGAAGACTTTTGAATTCCATTTCTGTCAACAGATTACATTGTACAAACTTAACTTTATATCAGAACTTTTAGTACAAGTCCCTTGTATTTCAGAATTTTAAAAGAAGTAAGCATCACTGGTAGGTAGTGAGTGGCACACTTTCTTTCTGCTTCTTTTAGAGTTTCTCCTCTTCAGAAGTCAGAAGTGGTAGAGATGGTAAAGAAACAGGTGAAAGTGATCACACTGGCTATCGGTGACGGCGCCAATGACGTGGGAATGATTCAGACGGCCCATGTCGGCGTGGGAATCTCCGGCAACGAGGGTCTGCAGGCTGCTAACTCTTCTGATTACTCTATTGCCCAGGTGAGCACAATGGCAGATATTATAGAATAACATACATAGGCAAAACACTGCAGCTGCAAAGTGCTTTTTATAAAATCAACTGTCTTGTTATATGTTGGGGAAGGTAAGATAAGCTCTTTTACGGTGACAAAATGGTGCGTTTTTAACTGCAGGGCACAACAGCGCAGTAAACTAATTGTCATTCCATTCACTGTCCTCTCAAGTGCATTATGTGTAAGTGATAGCTTGTCACATTGTTGTGCAGAACAATGGCCCATAAGCCTGAAAGAGTCGGGGCTTATCCAGTGAAGTAGTGTAACACCTGTAAAACAGGCATCTGCTGACATCTGACTCCCAAAACAACTGTACAGAAAGAGATTCTGGCTAAATGCTACTTAAAATGATGCTCGGATCCTGGCGACCAGTTAGTCTGAAACTTCTGCATAGATACACGATACCTGTTGTCCACAAAAGCCGCGGAGTTCCTGTGTCATTTCTCCGTTCCAGAGCACAGTGTGGAGTGCATCGTGTTTCTGCCGCAGCCCAAAGGCTTATGGGAACCAAACAGTGCGCTTTTTATGCCATTGTATGCAATCCCTATACAAGAGACTTGGATGCATCTGAAGAGCAACTCTCAGTGCACAAACATGTAGTTCCCTCAAAACCAGGTGGTCTCATACACAATAATCCATTTAGGTTGTGTCCCTGCATCAAATTAGATTACACCTCCAGACTGCCAGTGGCACTTATCGTATCTTCTTGTTTTTGTACATGAACCGTAATTAGCTGATTGCAACCTAAAATCAATCCTCGGAAATTGTGTAACTTATTTTTCCTATTCCTCTACCTGAATTGTGATTATGCCCGGGAGTGTCAGATGAGCTCCGCTTTGCGGCAGGTCATTAGGAGGCCAGTTCCTTCGATTGTGTTACTGGTAATTCGGTTACCGAGTGAGAGTCGAGTTAAGAGACGGTCCAGCTGTCTGCCTTCGGCCTGGCTCCGTCTGCCAATACGTTTTTTTTTCAGTCCGCTTGAGATTTGGAATCAACTCAGCAAGAAACCCGTCTCAATACAGACGCTCTTTCCACTCAAAAGTGAATTCAAACTATCTTTAATTCCATTCACATTAAAATGGATGGATGAGGTTCGGTCCAGCAGCACAGAGCCCTGTAGCTGTTAGCAGGGGGCTGTGGCACATACCATAGACCGCCTGCTGACACCCTGCAGGGAGCAGAATATGGAAGTGAGTCCTACCACTGTAGAATTTTGCAAGCCATTATCCTCCCCATCCTAAGAGGACGTGATGAAACGCATTCCTTAAAGTGCTGCTGCAGTCTTATCTCGCTGATCAGCCAGAAATTTGAATGTTCAACACAAGCTCTGAATAACGGCATAATTATAGAGCCCTGTAACTGTTACACTCATCCCCCTCATATGAACCCCCCTAATTGCAGGAACTTGAAGCATGGCCCCGCAGTCTGTGATTGAACATTTCTGGAATGTGTTACTGAGACTTCTGGACAAGTACCTCATCAGCACTGTAGTTCTCTGTCAGAAAATGGCAGAATACTTTCTTTAATCATGAAGTCCCTCTAAATAGGCCACTTCAGTGTCCAGGCACTGTTGTCAGATCATGATGAAGCACTAGATAATCTACTGTAGACAGACCTTTTCTCTTCATTCATCATGTTTTTGTCCTCCTGCCACACAGTTCAAATACTTGAAAAACTTGCTGCTCGTCCACGGAGCCTGGAATTACAACCGTGTGGCCAAGTGCATCCTGTACTGCTTCTACAAGAACATCGTTCTCTACATCATCGAGGTAAGTCTCTTTCACTCGGTGAAACACCAAACAAGCCGGTTCATTTACAGACCATGAACAGAATCTCATGTAAAGATAAAAGCATGTCAACTTTTAAAAAAAGTATTTATTTATTTTTAATTAATTGATTTATTTCTATTTTTCTTTTCTTTTCTTTTATTATTTTTCATTTTTTTCTATTTATATTTATCTGGATGTTTTTTTAAATATACTGTATATTTAATTTATTTTTTTGTTTTTTGTTTTTTTATTGTTTTATTTATTTTTTATTATTATTCTTTATTTTTTATTTATTCTTTACATTTTTGAAGTTGGCTTTAAAAATCTTGTCTCAACTTCTTGTATCAGTAAAACATTGATCCACTGGGTTCATTTAAATGACTTCGAGCTGCAGCCCGACGACTGGCCATGCATTGATACCCTCCTGTTAGGTGTGGGGAACTAAATTTGGATCATTCAGGGTAGCATGGTTATTTCTAAATGGATAATTAAAGTAATATAACTGTGTTAGTAGTTTCTCTTGATATAAACTTGGTAATTGTTAAATAATTTGAATGAAATTAGACAATTTAAGGATAAGTCACTAAGGACCCGTTTATTCCTTTTCATCCCAGTTTGGACATTTTTCTATAAATTATATTTGTTTTTTTTAGTTTTTTTTTTTTTAATTCCTTGAGATTGTACTTGGGGAAACTGAAGTGGTGCCACTGAATGGTTCCTGGTCCCTGCTAGTTCTACACGTTTGTCCGCAGAATCAATCGTTTGGTGTGGTGGGTTTGATGGCATTTGACAGATAACAGACCCAGTGCAGATAGCAGCTTCAGAGCTAAAAGCGACAGTGAGCAGACACATTGAGGGCTTCCTATCAGCAGCAGCTTTATCACTTGGACGTGCTCAGATGTTTTGATCTGTAGGATGAAAGTAGCAACTTTGGCTCTGTACCACCTTAGAAGTTCAAACTCAGACCCTGCTGAGAGTTTGGCTGTGCTTTGTCTCACACCACATGTCTGAGGCATTAAACACTGGCCACTGACCAATGTGAAGGTCCCCCGCCTCTTACAGAGTTATAGCGTCATGGTCTTAACCTTTGGGCTTTGTGCTTTCTTTATGAGAGATATCGATTCTCAGAGCAGGGATCTTTCTTTTAGTTGAGCTAAAAGTTTTTATATGTATATACATACGGTTGTGTTATTAATCTTTTTCTTGCAGGTAGACCCAAAACATATTTCTCTAGTCAGGTCTCAGGTTTTATGATAATATTTTAAGAAGTACTGATTATAAAATTCCATTCATGGTTGGCTCTGAAAAATGATGATGAAAAATGTGTTGCTGTAAAATGCCAAATATATCCATACATTTGATATTTCACACTCTGTGATTATGCGTGTGGCGCAATGACAGAGTGGCTGTGGAGATTACTTCATCTTTGAATTTATCACTTTTGTTTAGGATAGAGTTTGTTTCTCTTCTGACAAATTTGTTGCCTCAGCTAAACGATTGTGATTGGAGCACCACTTTCACTTGCATTTGCCATAGTCAGAAAACCAGGCTTGACTGAAAAGATAACCCAGGTCGCGACACCACTTAGTGCGAGATCTCAAATGCGAAGGTTAGTGGAGGCAGATAACAAACAGATCCGCGGGGTATGCTGAACTTGCCTGAATATGCTGCCACACACTGCTGTACCGCGTGCAGCCTGTTTGACCCCCTTTTACAGCCACAGCCTCAAAACAAATGAAATGCGCTCTCTATTGACAGGTTCAGGGTCTGTAACATTTTTATGTGCTACTGAGCTGCAGTGGATGGTTAATGGTCAGGAAATTCTTTGGTGTTATTCTGTGTCTCTGGCTTCACCACACTGGATAAATCAAACATGAATTCAGTAAGAACAAAGGCAACTCATTATTTTCAATTTCCCCTCTGTATTTTCTCATGAAAAGGGGGATAATTAAAACACAACCTGATACAGGAATTCCAGCCCTTTAAAACTCGCTTTTGTTAAACCTCCCTCTGTGTCATTTCACCTTTGATTAACCTTTTTATCCTTATTCTACTTTATGTGCTATACAAAATCAGCCGGCTACCTTTTGGCCTTCCACTGTGTCTGCTTCTGGCTCATCAAGTCCAAAAGAGAAAGAGGGCAGTTGATTTCTTATAAATTTATTACATCTGTTCTATTTTACTGCCCTGTTCCCAGATAAGGTTAAATAGCAGTTATGCACAAAAGTCCAAAGTAAAATTACATTTTCAGATAATCACATTATGTGATTATCTGAAAATGTAAGCATTACATTTGACATTTCATCTTTGCTTGAATATTAGATTACTTTTGTTTTTCCCTGTTTTTAACCATGTATAAACTGTTGTGTGTCACACACTGTTCAGTGCAGGAGCCCTGCTTTTTATCTTATTTTTACTCTTTACTCTTGATGTGAAATCCAAAACTATATGTGCACTGTTAGAGCCCATAACCAAATCAAATCCTGCTCAGGTTTTTTAGTTTATTCAGCAGCAGTCGCTCTTTGAAACTTACCAGGTCACTTGTCAAAGGTTCCCCACCCCCCCAACCTCCCAACAACTGGAACATAACATCTATAGTTGTCTGTGTGGGGAACCTCTTTCCAGCACACCTTTTGTTGCTCTCTGAAAACACAAGTCCCCTCCCCCTGTGTTACACCCCTTCAGAGGACTGTAGTGGATAATAGTGCATTTCTTCCCTGTTTGGCTGCTTCAGTATTTGAAATGTCCCTATTATTTAAGGCCCTGGCATGTCACACAACAGCAATCTGAGCCTATGAGCAAAAGCTGCTTTAACAGCACTAATAGGGTTACTTTTGAGCTCTAGTGTTTTTCTTTTTGACTTTCAGACTACTTTATTGGAGAAAATCAGGGATGTTTAGCAGATCTTTAGAATGAGGTGGTTTGGCATTTTGCAGCTAAGAGAGACTGACTGCACCATAAGATGATACAATGCAGTTTATATGTTACAGATAACCTTTTCAAAGTGTTTTTCTCATCCCCGTAGTGCCTTGTGACTAAACCATCTGATACTTATTCTAGTCCTCCCTCAGTTGAGGCATCATTTGAATAGAGCTGTTATGATTCGGGAACACAGCAGTGCTGATTGGTCAGTTAGTCGTCAGCTGTAGGTATAAACATCTGTTTTTATGAGGTCTTTCTTTTTTGTATAGATCAAATAGATGACCCTGTTTGCATTCCACACAAACCAAGAGGCTGCTGCAAACTCATTCAAAATCTACTTTATACTCCTCACTTGTGAGTTACTTTGGATAAAAGCATCTGTTGAATTAAAGTAATTTAATGAACTTGCCCACATAGCAGGGTAGGGTATAGCCTCTGCGTTCCCACAAGTTCAAGCAGGCTTCACATATGCTAATAAACAGCTGATCCCACCCACCGCTCTCTGTAATGGAAAAGGAACCATGGAAGTTCCACACCAAGTCAAACCTTATGGTATCCTGAGGTAATAGTTCATGGAAAAACACCATCATTTAAGAATAAATGAGTTTTTAAGCTCGTCACTTTTTTTTTTTTTGTGGACCGTTGATGGTAATTGAAGCTTCAAATGTAAGAAGTGGCTGGAACTGTCAGTCATTCACTCAACAGACGAGTTTAAAGTTTCTTTTGGCTGTTAGTTGCTGGCATTTTTTCATCTAATCAGTTTTACAACTTTTCAATCCTGGTCAAGCTTAAGACAAGACATTAAATCCTGATTAAAAAGGGAAGCTAAGAATGTGAAATGTTTTGAAACAGATTGGTTCATTTTTTTGTCTAAATAATGAACCACAGGCATAATTTGATAAGTTTCACTTAATTGAATTCCAAAACACAGATAGAAAAACATAAGAACGGATTGAATTTTGATTAATTAAGACTGGGGAACCTCTGCAAACGAAGCCGTAGCAACTCGGCACAAATGGACGATCCAGCTGGCCACTTGTGTTTGATTGACACATTTCTGGGCGCTATAGAGGAGGAACGACTGACAAGTGGCATTTATGAGGCAATTACATGAAAGAGCATTCAGTCCGAGCTCAGTGACGTTAGAGACTTGTCTGAGTAGAAGACCAGTGCTTGCCGACCAATTGCACTGAAGGGGCTAAGCGTGATATTGTACGACGGCCTCTGTTTTTAGCGCCACATACTTCCAGCATATTTGTCAGCTCACTCTTTGTCTTGCTCTTTATTTAGCTTTCTTTGGGCATGAATACCATTAGAGATTCTCCAGAGCTCACCTCGGGAGTATCAAGACTCACATTGTTGGGGATAAACATTATATACCCCTTCCCCTTCAACTCCTACCCACTTATACCCAAAGCTATAGAGCAGCCTTGGAATCAGTGATTTTTCATTATCTAATGAATATGCAAGTCTTCTTATTCGCAAGGCCCCTTCCCAATCCCTCTTTTCTCCAGGTCCTGGTTCCCTCATCTCTGTTTTCAAGATGTGCAGTGGGGGAGAGAGGCCAGCCACACCCCTCCACTGAGTGGCACTCAATGAGGGGAAGAAAAAGGGAAGAAAAATCCTGCCTGGTACTTCCCCTAATGAGCAAATCAATGCATCTGTCCCTCAAGAGATGGGGAGATTGAAAAAGGGAGAGAATCTATTGGAACTCTGAGGACCAGGCCAAAATACTCTCACAGGAGCAGTTACCACACTCTATGAATGGGAGCCTTTTTTAACTTAGCACAACAATATATAAGCCAGAGGCTCTCATTGAGCAGAGCTGTAATTAATTCAACAGTTTGACCTACCAACTAGCCTCTCCATACCATTTCTTGGGCCAAGCTAATCGTTGGACCTGCCTGATGACTTGGGCTTCATCCAGCAAAAAAAAAAAACACCAGCAACCGCATCTGAATGAATTTCAAACCAAGATCTACAACATAGAGAACTGTAGCTTATTTGGGTCCAGAGCCACATGGTTTCATATTTAACAGAACATCCCATCTGGGTGTAGACACAAACCCTCTCAAAGAGTGTGGGGCCAGTGATGGGTGGGTGGGAACACGGAGGGCAATGTCTGGGCTCGCTATCAAACAGGCTTCTTCTGCTGCCCAACGCCATTTGTTTTCTAACCATACATTCATAGGGTTTAATGGGGAAGACTAGTGGGCAGGCTGGTTTTGGTCATTCAGACGGTGACAGCAGCGGGTAGGGCCGTCAAGCGGGCTTTGTCCCTATCTGAGAATTTGTAGCAGTTCATGCCTTCATAATGACGTGAAATGGAGCGAGGAAATTCTTGATAGGCCATGGCGAAAACACAGCTCCCCTTATGTTCTCTTGACAGCTTTGGCATGAGCGAAAGCCTGTCCTGGATCACAGCGCGTCACTGCGACTCCGAGATGCACCGTCCGATTCACAGCATGCAGGCATTTTCAGCGCGGCAGTCGGATTTCCTCAGACAGAGACCCGCCCGGCGTGTGCGGCTTCTGTCCTGACTCAGAGATGACATGATGATAAAAAAAACATGCAGGGATGAGGCTGGCTCTAAGCTAGCAGGGGTTCACAAGACATTACCTTTGTTTTCCTTTTCCTGACAGTATTTCAAAGCCTCCACCAGCACACCTCGTCTGTCATCCACATGTTGTCATTTAGATCAGAGGAAAGCGATAGATTAGATCTACATTTGAATGGGTCTCTGTGAGAAACACGGTGGTTAAATTGCATTATGGAGATGGACGTCTGGCTATCCGGGTCTTTTTCCTCTCTTTTTTTTCTCTTTTGCGCCTTTTTGCCCTCTCGTTCTTCCTTGAATTTTAAAATTGGTTTGCTTGTGCTACAGACGTATTGTTCAAAGTTCATGTCTTTATCCTCTGCAACATTAATCTAATTACCTTTCACCGTGACTATAAATTAATAATTTGGAATAATTCTGGGCAGGAACCTTCCTCTGTTATCTGTACATATTGTGTGAATAATAGAACTCTGTTTCTGAGTGCTCTGTTGTTATAAGATAGTAAGTGATGAAAAAATGAATTTGTAATTCAGACCTGAGCTTGCCTCAAGTATGATACTACTTATCGCTCACTCTCATTATCTCCAACAGAAAATCTGTATGAGAAGGTCTGTAAGTTTTCAGAAATATGGTGTTTCATCATCTTGTTTGAGAAAAGCTCCACTATCAAAGTCATGACTAAGTACTTCACACATCAGATTAACAGCGTTGGAGGAACGCAAGTCCTATTTGGAACATACTTATCATCAAAATTGTTGCAAAAAAAAAAAAATCAACCCTTTGAAGTTAGTGGTGGTTTATGTGACTCTTTTTGAGTTTTATGGAAATGTTCTCTCCTCCAGATCTGGTTTGCCTTCGTCAATGGCTTCTCCGGGCAGATTCTGTTTGAGCGCTGGTGCATCGGCTTGTACAATGTGGTAAGTGTTGCCAGATAAATTTTCTAAAGATCCCGCCTCTATCCTCTCTGGGGGGGCGCTAATTTGATCCCTTTACTGTGCATTAACATCCTCCTTTTTTATTTATGGTCTGTTATCAGGTCCACGGCCCCTCTGTGGCCTAAGCTATGTGCTGAATGTGAACAACTTATCGTAGAGTGTTGTTGGTAAAAGCAGCTACATTTGAATGATAAAAGAATTCAGACTGGAGAAGAAAGGGAGCTTGCTGTTTATGTTGGAAGTCTCACAGGACACACTAATGGGACCATTCCTTATGAACTCATATTTAAGATGTTATGACTGAGGCAGAAGACAAATTGTGTATCTGTAATGTTCAACACCATGAGGAATTGTTTTGAAATGTGAATTAGAAACAACTTTATTCAGACAATTAAAATTAACAAAAGAAGGATGGAGTGCTGAGCACCAGGCTGGGGTGGGAATAGTTTTTTTTTTCCTTTTTTTTTCTTTTCCCCTTCAACTTTTTTCCAAAACTGGGGAAAGTCTCTGTCTGACTCAGTGGGAGCCAGTTGGAGGCAATGAGCTGAATCCACCCCTCAATAGAGATCTTCCTGGGCCTGACCGTGGATAAGAAAGGAGCCCAGTGAAGCATATCCTGCAGCCCGCCGGCCCTGCGGACTGATGCCTGTAGACTCCCACTCCAGATGGTCCTACAGGGATCTCACACCAACTGACCCACTGATCCCCCGAGCCGCACAATACCATCAGCCCTCTCTCAGCAGCTGCTATACAGAGCACTGCAGCACCACTAAGAAGTGGCACTTTAGCCAGACTTAAATACCTGCCTCCTGGTCCAGAACTTTGCAGATGTTCACTGCAGAGAGGTTTTACATATGAACAGGCTCTGGGCATGGCTAATCAAAATAATAAAACCCCAGCGGGTTTAAGGTCAGTGCTCCCTAATAACCAAACTTTAGAAAAGAGCAAGTGGAGAACGACACGTGAGGGTTGTGGGAGCCTTAAAGACAATCATCTGCCATTAATGTCAGACAGTTTGTTTAACTCCATGTCGTTGTGTGTGTTTTAGTCCCCGACTGTCATTATAATCTCAAATGTATATGTCTCAATTGTGTGTTTTATAATTAGATCTTCACCGCTCTCCCACCTCTCACTCTGGGGATATTTGAACGATCGTGCAGGAAAGAAAATATGCTGAAATACCCAGAACTCTACAAAACCTCCCAGAATGCAATGGGTTTCAACACCAAGGTAATGTGTGTGCATGTTTGTGCATGTCTTTAACCAGGTCAGGTTGAATTCAGTTTATTTTCGTCATCTTGATGGCATTTTTCCATTTGTTTTTTTTTTGTCCACTGCAGTAACATAAACAATTGGAGGCAAATGATTGAATATGCAAAAGCGATGTGATGTTGCACCCCACTACTTTGATTATTTTATGTAATTCGTCTTTTAAGTTGTTCAAAATACACCTTCATCTTACACCTACACATCTTATTTTTTAGGATAAAATTAGCCAATGAATTTCAATGAATAGTCTAATGAATAGGTCATAATATTCAATTCCTAAATCAACTAAGTATCATTATTGTCAGGAGATGTTCCGTGAGCCACTGACTTGTCTCCGTTCTCCCTTAACTGGCAGCTGTAGTTGGTTGGTTTCCATTCTTGGCCAGGTTTGGCCTGGCTTGACCTATTCTGTCTGGTTTGGGGGGCTGTCCGTTAGTCTTCCCCGCTGGTAATAAAGTTGTCTCCTCCTTTCTCCATGCTGAGACCCGTGTATTCTCCTCACAGGCGTGGTGACCTGGTTAGCACCACATGGAGGCGGATTAAAGGCAGATTGGCCATGGTGGTCAGGGGCAGCGGAGGTCAGATGGGTTTGAGGATGCAGCAAAAAGAGTCGGAGTAAAGAGGGAACAGAGAGCACGCGGTCCTTCTGTGACGGCATTTGTTGCGTAAAATTGTACAACTGTTTAAGTGAAGCCTTCGTTTGATCTGATTTAAAGGATGTTCGATCACATTCTACCAGGACGGGAAAAAGGCTCCATTTCACAAAAAGTGAACCTCCACTTTTCAGCTCACTAAGTTTCAGCACAGAGGTCAGAGTCAGTTTGTGGATTGGTATTCAGAGGACTGTTGAATTAACAAAGAAAATTCCACTGCATTTTTCAATAAAAGTGTCTAACCCTATTAATCTATTGGTCAGCAAACCAAACTGTAGAGAGAAAGGTTACTGATTTGATTTAATAATTTTCTGTGGATCTGCTAATTCACCATCCATTTGTCAAGCTATAAGTAGTATTTTTAACAAAAGCTAATAATTAAAAGGAAGGGAATTGGAAAGTGGAGGCACACACTAAATAAATCAGAATAGAATACAAGTTTAAGAAGATTTAGTATAAGGTATAATTTCTGTTTATCATTAATAAGCTAAAGATAAGAGATGTATAACGACACAGCTAAAAATTGTGTGCATGTTTACTGTTCTTGGATGGATTTCATTCCTTCATTCGTTTTTCTGACGACTTCTTTCACTTTTTTCGTGCCAAAAATGATCACAAAAATATTCATCTGATAGTTATAAGCAAATGGACCTCAATTTTGTTTGGGCCGCATTTTCCAAGACCCATAAATGATGAGTCGGGCAGGTCAGCAAGTTGTTTTTGCTGGCTTGTCCACTCTTTCCCGAGATGTTTTCCCTGCAGCTGGCCCGAGGCGAGGCGAGAAAATCCAGCAGGAATTTGGCCCCGTGAAGCCTGTCTTTCTGCACGCCTGGCTCTTTTGTACACAACAGATACTGTCTTTGTGAATTAAAGCTGTTTTTGTTGAGGTGCGAGCAGGGAAGAGGCTCGGGGTGTCAGAGACTGGGGTAAGAGGGTGGGTTTCGGCTTTCTGGCCCATTCGCTTTTAATTACATATTCAGGACTGTTGAGTCATCCTTATAAACAACCCCCTTCTGTGGCCACAGCAGTTCAACTGAAATCACCACCTGTTATGTGCCACCTTTCCCCCTGCCCGGCTCTTTTTCTTTTTCCTACCTCACAGGTTTGCGCAGAAATTGCGGGCGGGGGACTCTGTGGAAAAATTGGCTCTATATTAATTACACCTTTCATATGTTTAGCTTTTTTTGGCAATTAGGCCTTTCACTAGGGGCCAAAGCTTCACAGATGACAGACCACATATTCATTCAGCGCTGATCCTTTGCAAGTTACAAGAGACACAAGGGATAGACGCTCTGGTTGGGGGAGGGGGGGGGTAGGAAGTATCTCACTGTGACAAAAGATTATAAACTTTAGTTGATTGCATTAGCATTCATTATTGTTCAGGAAGGTGGGGCGAGTTTACCCCCCGTGTGGTGTTTGGAATGGGATTGTGGAGGTGGCGGCTGACAGAGAGGCGTGCTTACCAGTGGGGGGTTAATTGGCATAAAGTTTGTTACATTAGTGATGATTTAATACACATCCGAGTGCAGATATAAGAGTGGGGCCTTGCCTTTAGCCGTCCGTCACTCTGGGTATTGGGTTTGTATACACAGTGGGTGGGTGAGGTAATCCCGGGTGGGGGGTGGCTGCTTTTGGTCTTTGTTTGGTTGGTTTGAGAGGTGATGAGGTTGTGCCACTGAGGTCAAGGTATTTTCAAAAGTCTCATCGTCAAATTTATGATGAGCCTTTTCCTCTGTGTGCACAGTGTTTCTCTCCTGCCTCACTCTGCTTTTTCTCTGTTCTCTTTTCCACCCTCCAGTGACATTTTTGCTTGTTTTGTGTGTGTGTGTAGGAAATCAAGCCTCGTGCTTGTTGTCTGCCAAGAGTCTTTGATTAAAGATAAACCAGAAATGTAAATGTAACTTTCTTTTTCAAACCCTGGTTTTATTTTACCTCCTCCAAAGCCTGCCGTTTACTCCACGGGGTTGACAAATTTTCACCTCTCAGAATTAACACCACTGTCTGTGTCAGCACAGAGGAGGAAAAAAGAGGGCACAAATGTGAAGATTTCATGGGTGTTTCATGCTCCATCGCCCATTAGTGTTTTGCTTGGCTCTGGCCCGGAAAAAAAATCTGAATTTGAAACAAGGTGGTTTTGCAGTGGGAGTATTGATTTAAAGGACTCATCCAAAGTCTGAATGCCTGCATGGAGAGACACATGCAGACTGCGTTCCACACCACGATTTTCCAGGTCCTTAATAATTACCACCAAAACAGTGGAATCTCTGTTCGGCCTCTTGCTCTGTGCACAGGTTTCTGAAATGTTTTCTGCTTGTTTAAGCTGTCCCGTAATTTATTACCGCCCCATTTCGAATTCTCCCTGGAAAGTGTAGAAATCTAATGCAGCGCCGACAGCAGATATATCATTCTCATTTTCATGTTCTTGTAGTCATATTGAATGTTTTGCGATTTCTTATGCGTACGCACTCTTATTTGAAGTTTTCCAAATAACACAGAGATGTTATGGAAAGTTTAAACCTGAATGGTGATATTGTCCACTTGCCTTTCACTCCTCGTCGACACACACTTGGCAGCCTCTCTCTCCCCCATAACACTCACAGAGGATATACAACATGTCTGTCAGCGGGGTGGCCATTCAGCAAGGAGGCCCCGACAAAACCGCCACTTAGCCTAGCGCTGGGCTGGCACAAAGGGCCCAGGTCATGGGTCATTTGGAAAGCTTGAGCTCCCCAGACCCCTTTTCTCATGCTTCTTTTTTTTCACTCTCCGCCTTTCCCTCTTGCTCTACTCCCCCACCTTCTTCTCCTCCCTCCCCCCCCTCCCCTTTTTCTCTTTTTTTTTTTTTTTTTGCAGGTCTTCTGGGCCCATTGTCTGAACGGCCTCTTCCACTCCGTCATCCTCTTCTGGTTCCCCCTTAAAGCCTTCCAGCATGGTTAGTGGCTCTCAGAGACGGGATGAAAAGGAGGACAGTCAAACGCACATAGTTTGTCTTAATTAGTTCTCTCCTCAACTGTCCGGTCATAAATTGCAAACATGTGTGTTTCTCCAGTCAGAGCGACTTGCAGTAACAGTCATATTTTTTCACGTTTGCACCGATTCCTACTGAAAGCGTTTGCTGGCTCATAAACTGCACCTTCAAAGTGATTGATCAGTGCTCATAAAGGTGTTTTCTGTCCAAACAGACAGCCATCAGTTTAAATTGTGTGCGCACATAAGTTCAGATGTTTTACAAGAACTTAAAATGTCTATGTTTTTTGATGATTTCTGTGTTTGTGCGAGTGCAAAGATAATAGGGATCTTTTAGCTGGTGAGTGTTTGCTGGCCAGAGCTGAGGACCACACAAGCTTGGGCCTGCTTTCCAAACAAAGGCGCCAAGCCCCCTCACTCTGACTGACAGGCTGTCAGCAAAGCCTCAGCGCACACAAGACATGTGACCAGCCGGAAGTATAGGGAAAGAGAGCCTCTCTGTCTTTGTCTACTGGCAGTCGCACATTGTTGGTATTTCAGCCATCGCGCCAGTCAAAACCCAATCTGGTGTTTTCAAGAAATACAAAATACCGACTAACTCATTTAGTTGAAGTCTTATTAGGAAAGGCATCAACTTCTTTCTAAATGGCCAAAGACACAAATGTTTTATTACAAAACAATCTGTTCAAAATCTGTCCATTCTGTTTCAATAGTTATTTCTCCTGAAATTTGTAACATTGGAATATTAGGTCTGTACAGATCTGTGTTTAAGCTCTGCAGATGATTGGCCAAGAAGTCACATTGGATGATTTATGGCAGTGACTCCCACACGTGAAACCCCTCCTGTTTAAAAAAAACAAACTTAAAAAAGCTGTAAAGATGTTATTATTTCTGTTATAAACACTGATACACAAATCAATGCCGTTATCTAACATGGACGCTCATCTGGTACATCATTGTGCTGGCGTAGCACACAAATGATCATTTGTGTTTTTTAGGACCTCATTTGTTATAGAAAACCAATTCAATTGAGCCACGTTGAGGCATGTAGAGCTGAGCAGGTACTAATGGAAAAGCCACTTGATAGGAAGATTATGGAACCAGCATTTTTTCTGGTGGTCATTGTTCTGTTTTCTGTTCTTTTAGCATTTTACGATCCAGTTTACACTACAAACTTAAAATGATAGCCCGTATTTGCTGTGTGAAGCCAAGAGCTCAGAGAATTATTCCTGAAAGTCTCTGTCATTGATTGCCTTTTCAGATACTGTCTTTGGCAATGGAAGAACTCCAGACTATCTCCTCTTAGGCAACATGGTTTACACTGTGAGTGCATCAGTCTTTTCAACTATGCAGAGTTCAGTTCTGTGTGCCAAATGTTGCTCAGTGTTGTAATTTACCATCAGATCAGCTTTTTCAGTTTTTGTGATGAAAATCAAGATTATAAGCTCTGTTTTTTTACGAAGTTAGAGAAAATAATGATAGAATATTGCATGTGCTCAAAACTTGAAACTTTTTAAGTCGCCATGTATCATTGAACTGGTCTGTACTTTCACAGTTTGTGGTCATCACAGTTTGTCTTAAAGCCGGCCTCGAGACCTCTTCCTGGACCATGGTAAGTCAAACTTTCCCTCTCTTTCTAAGTTTCTTTTATCTCTTTTCTGTTGCTCCATTTTAATATGACCACTGATACTTGTGGCATGTTTTACATCCTCTTCTTATCTATAAACGCTTTACGGTTTGTTCTCGATGGCCTTGTAACTGTAAAGCCAGTGAAATGTATATGGAAACTTTCAGAGGACACATAATGTAAAACTTTAAGCTCAAATTATGAAAGCCGAAAAAGGTAAACTTTATAAATACGTTGGACTCCATTGCTGTTTACATCGGTTGATTTCAGTTGTAAGTTACACGTTTAAATATGTTTTTGCTTAAATGCTCGCTTACAGTTCAGTCACATCGCCATCTGGGGAAGCATTGGCCTGTGGGTGGTGTTTTTCATCATCTACTCCTCCCTGTGGCCCCTCATCCCTCTGGCCCCCGACATGTCAGGCGAGGTAAACGCACACACATGCTTGAATGACATTTTCACATGCATGCACACACCCTGTCCCTCACAGCAGATTTTTTTTTTCGCTCTTCCAATGTGTTCATTTCTCTATAGAATTTTTTTTTTTTCCCCATTTTACCCGTTTTGAAGTCAAACTTGACAAAGCTATTTGCAGGTACAGCTAGAAGAGTGAGAACTTTTGGTCCTGGCTTGTGTTGCATAATGACTTGATTGGGCTAATTTGGCCTGTGTTTGTGTTACATTTCCCTCTCTTTGCTCTGAGTATCCACAGGTAAGGCTGACACACTGAAGCTATCTGGAAGCTAAACAAAGAGAAAAAGGGGGAAAATCTACCCAAAGATCACCATCAGGAGAAACTACATTTTAAAAGTCTTTCTGAATTCCTCCAATTTTCTAGAGAAAAAGAACATAAAAAAAAAAAAAAAAGTGTTCTTATTTGGTCATTTACATGTGAATGTATCCCTTTTAGTCACCACAGGTGCTCAAGCTGATAATGATGTGACACTTCCCATTTCCCATTCTGGGGGCTAAATTGAGGTGTCTTTTCATTAGAGAATAAGAACACAGTGGGGATTTACTAACATAAAGGCTGGTACCACACTGACTTCAGCAGAGCAAAATGACTTCTTAACTGTAAATATTTTCTTTGCAAAAATGTTCCGCAAATGGGTTAGTTTATGGCTCAGGATTACCGCCTTTCAAAGTTTAAGAATAAGAAAAGATTACAGAATAGGACAGAAATCTCTTTCAAAACTAGTTTGTTTGGTTTCTCACATATACAGAAAAGTAAAGGTTGTTCGGCTTTACGAGAACCGTAGAAATAAGGATTCATTTAGCAAATAAAGTGGAGCACAGCCCACTGCTCTGTAATCGGATTTCTTCGTCTGAATTCATCAAACACTTAGATTCCCTGCACAGCAAATTGAATAAAAAGATCAGAGAACTGGGACATTTTATGTGGACATCTCTGGATAGGAGAGGAGAGATTTTTATTTTGTCAATATGGTTTTCATTTTTCCAAGCCAGTTTCTGTGATGTACAAAGGAAATGTTTCCTTTAAGGGACAGAAAATAGTGTCTTTTGTTCAGCAAAGGCAGAAAACATCTGTTCAGCATACAGTTAAACACATTAGATAAAGCAAGATAATTGGATTTGTTTATTTATTTTTCTTTAAAGAGGAGCTAATGACTTCCTGGCATTGTCCAGAGGTAAATGAATTAATAAAACCTGCTTGTTACATTGTTAGATTTAGCAGTTTTTGGTTGTAAGCCTTTTCTCATAAAGGCATAAAAATAGTATAATTTTCTCATCAATAGTAATCACTGCCAGAAAGTGAAAATGTAGGTTTCCAAGAAGAACATTTTTTTTTCTTTTCCCCAGAAGCCTCAATTTTCAGTCAAATGTTGTCCACCTCCAGACAGTTGTGCTTCATGAATGGTTATGATTTGTGGGGGGAAAGATGTTTGTGGCATATTTGTATTTTTTTGTTGGTTTGAACAGAAGATGGAATTCTTCATGTTACATCTCCGTTAAAACGCTCCTGCCTTCAGCAGTCGTTCAGGCATCTTTGAAGCCCATGTGGACCGAGTACTTCTGTGAGCCCACGAAAAAAATATGGCAGCCTGTTTTCCTTTGACTCGGGCTCACACACACGTTAGTAAAAGGCTTGCTGGCCTCGTCCCATCCCCTCTCGGGGGGGGCCTGCTGCTTTCATCCATGCCCCGCAGCACTTGACTCAGGACAGTAATGGTGTCCTGTGGGTAGATGGTAACTCTATGCCCAGCCCTAACTCAGAGACACAAGTGTATCATCAAACAGCGACACATCTCTCAGAAACCTGAGAGGACATCAGAGACACTATCCCAACTTCCAAGACCCTGATGCAGTTCTACCTCTACATGTACCCAGGGCTTCCGAAATGTTTACTTTGATTTAAAAAAAAAAAAAGAAAAAGAAGAAAAAATTGGACCCCGTCCTCCAAACTATTTACTTTTACTCCTGGCTCTTTTCTTCCTCTGTTCACCCCCGCCCACCCCAGCCCGTTGAAAAACCGCCTCTGGGCCAACAGCATAACAGACACCAAGACTCCATATCCTCCTGTTTTTGCTCTCTCTCACTATCCAGCTTGCTGCACTTAACAAGAGACGCAAGCAGAGCCCGGCCCCATGTGAACACATCCGTCAACGTCAGGTTGAATATTCTCTGAAAACGGCAGAACCGACAGGTGCCGATTCCATCCTGGTAGCACGCTGAAGTAGCCTCTCGCAGCCACTCTGCGACGGGCTTGACCCCCGATCCAGGCGTGCCGTCCTATTTTCACCTGACAAAAAGTCTGACACGAATATCAAACAAGGTGTCGTTATTCCGTTCAGCCTGTGTAATCTGCTCCGCTAAGCGGCTTAGCTAGAACCTCAGGAGATATTTCACATGTGCTCTGTGGCACTCTTCTGGGGTCTTCTGATTTGCCTCCGCTGACAGTGCAGCTGTTACCAGTGCACGGCATCCCTCTACCCCTCACACACATTTGCTATATTTCAGCTTCTGCCACAAGCTGCAGCACAGCTCCACAGTTTGTCAGACTCAAGTACCTGTCAGCAGCTCATGGATTTTAAAGGCGGCTCGTACACATCAGATGTTTTTTTTTTTTCCACAGTGATAAGAAACATTTTCTCAGAAAGGAATCCCTTTACCGAGAAATTTGTTGATGTGAGACTTTCCAGGAAATACTCCCGGGGCTATTTATACCAGTCAGCGACGTATTAATGGGATTAACAGCAGGAATGAAAGCAGTTTGGAGAGGAGGCAGATCAACACAGTTATTCATATTTATTAGCAGTGCCTTTGATCAAGCAGCTCAGATTCAGGGTCAGGTTTGTTTGGTTTAGCTTGAGATTAGCTAGCGTTGAGTTTGCAAATTATTGTGAAACCCATTCCGATAAAACAGGAATATTCATTGTTTCTGTTCTTTCTCGGTTTTCTCTGTCTTTTTTCTCCATCCCTGCTTTCTCCCACATCGGTTTGCATTGACTGTGCAAACTTTGCAATTTAGATTATCTGATCATTTAATTTTTGATACCAAATTGGAGGGAAATGGTAAAGCTTTCAAAACTCAGTCTTCTTCTCACAAATATAAAGCCAGTGCATTTGCATATGTAGCTCCATTGGTGTTTATTGCCTTAAAGTGAGCCACTGTATACTTGACAGGTATGTGCATTTTTATAGTCCAGGCACACTCAGGAGCCTACTTGTCGTCATAGCTAAAAAAAAAAAAAAAATACTTTGAAAGTTTAAACTTGTGTGAGATGGGTCATCCATCATGAGTATAACTGTTTAGTTATCTGTTAAATACGTTTATTGTTGTTTGGAAAATACCTGAAAAGGACATTTGAGATTTGGCAGCCAAAATTCTCCCCCGAAAGCAAAAAACCCAACAACTTCTGTCTGTCCTACAGAGGTTACACACCCAGATGGAATATATTTCTGTCTGTGCCTGACAAACATTTTCAGACAGACCGACTGAAAAGAAAAGATGCAACATTTGATTGATTGTGAGATTTGTTTGGAAAGATTAGCAGCATGTTTTTATATGAGCGTCTCTCCCTCAGAGAGATATGAGATGTTGAGAAATTTCTTCATTCTATCTGCAGAGTGGAAATACTGCTACTGACCCCTGGTCAGCATTGGGTGACTTTGTTGTTTGATTTTGAGTCCTCTTGTGCCTTTTGGGGTTTGTTCTGTCTCAGTTGTTAATAACTAATAAGTGACACATCACAAGGTCAGTGTAATAACAAATTAGTTAGTGAAAAGTCTGAATGAAAGGCGTTTTTATCTGTTACACACACACCATAAATTGCTCATGCTCAGCCGGTCAGGAGATAGCTGAGTTAGGAGTGTTTAGAAAGACTTTTTTTCCTCCTGTTTTTCTATTCTTTCTGTCTATGTTTGGCGACTTGTAGAGAAATGATTTAACTAGGTTTTTTTTTGCAGTCTCAGACCTCTGATTACTGTCCATCATTCTATGTTTAGCTGTTTGCTGTTTCCATTTAAAAAGTCAACATTGTGTTTGTGCAATAGATTCTGTTACAGATCAGAACGGCATTCCACCATAAATGTGTAGTCTGATCTTCACATCCTTGCTTTCCTATTAAACCAGTGTGCAATGTCTTAAATTATTCAGCATAGGTACTCTGGCTGTTTAATTTAGCAAATGCAGGACAGAGTGTGTTTTTTCCGGAACATGCTCCCTGAATATAACGATAATGTTTTTTTTTTTTGTGGAGGACAAACCCAAGCCATTGGCTGATATTGATGTAAATCAAATTGCTTGAAGCTGTTTTTTGTAGGTGTGATCAGCCACATTTGACTGGTCTCCCAAGAAAAGAAAGCTTATATTTTTGGAGTTTCAAATTTGTAAAATAGCTGAACGTTAGCTTTAGATTTCATTTGATTTTCTAATAGAAACTTGACATGCTATAAGGTGTAGCTAAAGCCCCAAATCAGCTTTAGTAGGACAGACCAGTGGATAAGTGTCATGCTTATGTAGAAAGGAAAAAATTCTTGGATTTTTTTTCTATTTGAATTTAAACTTAAGATTTAGGTGAGTTTATAATTGATTAACAATCGATGGTTAGACTTTACAGTCTTTTTTATAACATTAAAGTTTTACAATAGATGTGCAATGAAAGAATTTCAACCCGTTTGTTACTCCTATGTTGTACGTAGCTCTAATGAGAGCTAAAATGATCTCTGCCAGCTTTTCATTTGTGGTTATAACTTGACTTGTGGTGTCCCTCTTGATCTGGATCTGTAAACTCCTTGTATTTGCTTTTGATTGCAGTTTGCTCATACGAAGTTGACCAACATTAGCGCTTTTGTTACAGCCAGCTTGTAGCTGTAGGAGTAAAAACTTGGGTTGGAAACCTGGTATTGTGTGTGCTTTGTGTGAACCGTGAAAAGATGTCCCTTTATTTTATGACAAAGTGTGTTGCTTTTCTGTTTTTAAAGCAGAGGGCAAACTCCATCGTATTTCCAAATGCTACATATTTCTGATTTGGTCTTTTCCATTCTTAGCTTTCATGATGTTGCGCTTAATCCTTAGTTAGACCTCAAAGAAGTTATTGCATTTTTGTTAAGAACCCACAATGTACAGAAGTTGAATTATTTGATTGCACACTTCTCTGACCTCATCATCACAAAGCTCTCAACAAATGCCACCATAATCCTCTAACATACATCTCGCCATAGTGGTTATTGGCCTTTTCTGTGTATGCACGTGTGTATGATTGCGCTTGCCTAGGGAGCCGTGGCCTGTCCAAACATACCTCTCAACGCCAGGGGACACTACTGTCTGTCCAGCCAGACAAGTTTATTAGTTTGTCCTAAAAATACAGCCCCACTCCCTGGACCTCTCTAACCCCATTCAGCTCCCATGGGCCCCCTGGTATGAGGCATGCTAGCATCCACCAACTCCTCCGGCCCCTGCTCCATGTCACAGAGTCAGCGCAAATGCCCGGACACAAACTTTTTCAAATTTCTTTGTACCTTCTCAGTTCTGTTTGCATTTTAAAATATTGACGTCAAAAACTAAATACTGTTTATTTAGGTTTATTACTCCTTTATTACTATGTTTTGGAAGTTGTTTAATCAAAACTAATTAGCAGGCTTATTAAAACATTTGATGAAAGGTTTGGATAAGCATCATGTGTGGCTAAGAGTTCTTTGTGGAGATAAATAAATATTGTTCATAGACTGAAGTTGTGACATACAAACATGATTTATTTTTCATGCTATTTGGCTTTGACTTGCCAAGTACACATCTCTAGTTTTTTTTTTTTTTTTTTCAAAAGACTTTCAAGGGAGTTTAAACACCCCCATTAACATGTATGATACCCTCGATGCAAATGAAAATAACTAAAGTGACTCATGGTCCCTTAAAAGAAAAAGGAATGACAGGAAGGAAAACAAAACAGAAAATACTTCAGCCTTGACTGCATAATTCTGAATCTGACATAAACATTTCCCATTATTTGACGTCATTTTTCCATTACCGCACAAATTTTCAGCCTCGGCGTGACACAAATAAGTTGCATTCATTCGCTTTCCCATCCCAAATGTTTTGGTTTCCTTTGGGCACCCCCTCCTCAGTGTTTTGTCAGACATCAAAGTCAATTTGCAGGTAATGGGAAACAGATTAAATAATTACTGCAAAGCTGGGCGCTTTGATGGGTTTTGACACGGATCTCCGTGCATGTGCATCCTGAGGGCCGGGCTGTGTCACATTTCAGGAAAGATTCTGTCAAGGGGCCACGGCATTTTAAACAAGTGGCACATTACAATTCAAAATCCTGGAGTTGTACACTTTGACATGTAATGACAGATAGCTTCAGTATGTCGGGCCAAAGCAAACATCCTCACACAGAAAACCCGAGGCTTTTGACTCCACCACGGCGGTTCGTCAGCCCGTCTGCCACTTTGGGTTCTAAAAGACGGCCTCATTAATCACGAAACAAACATTTGTAATGTAGAGTTTTAAGATAACACATTACTGCATTATGTAAAAAAAAAAAGAAAAGTTATGTGACAGAGCATCAAACTCTGCTGTTGGTGATTCTCACAGTTGGTTGACATTTTAAGCCAGCAATTAATGGGGAAAATTATTAGCAGATGAATCTGGAATGAAAATAATTGCAATGTGTGGCTCTTAGATTATCCACAAAATCAGAATTTTGGCAAAAAGTTGTTTAAAAAAGTTGTTGGCTCTCCAAAAAATCTTTTGCCTGCTTTTGATAATCAGTTTAGAACCACAGACAGAGTCTGAGCTCATCTTCAGTGAGCAAATGTATCTGATTACAGCTCTCTTTTTTGCTCTCATAGAGTCACAAAGTGAAAGCTGTATAAACCTATCATTGAATGCACCATTGGCGACTCTGGAACTTTGCCTTTAACAGAAGCTCTCAACACAGCAGACAGTGGAGGTGTTTTTATTATAAGTACATCACAGGTACTTCCTCTGCCCTGGAGGGCTCCAAACAAAAACATGGTATCATTTAGCCACGGCGGATCAACCCACCTTCAGCAAGTTATTGGAACTCATCATCTCTTGTTTCCACAGCACAACTGTTTGTTTTGGGCTGCCTTTGTCATGTATGTGGCACTGCAGAAAATTGTTTTGGTTTTTTTCTACCGAAGAGCTCTTGTTTTTTATCTGACGGGCGGCTGAACTTTGCATTGTCTACAGTGACCTGAGATTAAATTGTGTGTGTGTGTGTGTGTGTGTGTGTGTGTGTGTTCGTGGCAGGCGGAGATGATGTTCAGTTCAGGGGTCTTCTGGATGGGCCTGTTCTTCATCCCAGTCACCTCGCTGATATTTGATGTGGCCTACAAAGTGTGAGTTTTCTCACTGTCGCTTCTCAACATGCCAACACTCAACCGATGCAGGAAATTCCACCAAAATGTCTTTTGTGTCCAAAGAAAATTCTTTGCCATGTCTCCGATCAAAGATTTATTTTTTTTTTTTTTTTTTTTTTTTTTTTTTTTTTTAGTGTTTTGTTTTTCCTCCCTGTAGTCAGGTTGAAATCAACTCTCAGCAGACTGAAGGTGTCAGCAGAAACTGACCAACTTTCAAGATTTATTTCCTTTTTGAAAGGATGTTCATCACATCAAAGCCTCATGTTGCTGATTTTAAATGTTTTTTTGTGTTTTTCGTTCTTCAGTGTGAAGAAGGTGTTTTTCAAGACCCTGGTGGATGAGGTTCAGGAGCTGGAGGCTTTATCTAAAGACCCTGGAGCAGTGGTGCATGGGAAGAGGTACTATTACACTCCACCACACTAGGCCTCTCATTGAGTTTAGATTTTCAGTTATTAATGACCTGTTGCACAATGAATTAAATACTTTCTATGTGAATGAAACCAGACGGCCGATTGTCTATCAGGTAAAACTTTAAGATCGATGTTATGACCCTAGAACCGTTTTGTGCTATAGATCTCGATTATTTTTTATAACACAAGTTATGTGTGCAGTAGCAAGTAGTTAATAGAATACAGTATAGATGAATTATAATTAAATCTTCCATTAATTTACACCTTTACCCATAATCTTTAAAACACAGATTAAATGGAGCAGTTGTTCCCTTTTTGTTTTGAACTTGATTGTTTATGGTGATAATGAGCTTCAGGCAGCAAATTTGACTTTTCTAATTGTTTCATAATGGCACAAAAGTGCCTGAAAACCTCATGAACACAGCTGTCTGAGAGTTGGCTGTTCTCCATCACCAGCTCAACGCAACAATCCCTCAACTTTCCAAAAGCCCAACTTTTATTTTTCTTGGATTCTTTTAGTAAATCAGTGGAACAAAGGTTTACTTTGCAAGAAGCTCAAATTTGATACTTCACATTTATTATTTTCTTCCTTATTAGACACTCATAACCCCAAATCCTTTTGAGTCTCAAAACATAATAGATGAATTAGGCCAAATACCTTTGTTGAGATTTACAGATTGATGTCAGAATAATGAGTCGTGTAAATAAAATACTATTACACAGTAAATCATGCTGATTTGATGTAAAGCATTATTCAGCTCTGTTAGACACATACAGGTCCAATCAGGACACTTTAGTACTGATTAACAGCATTGCTCTCATTTAACGTTCTAGCAAATTGACAAATGAGTTCATTGTGTCCTTTTTTCATATTCTCTCTCTCTCTCTGTCTTCCTCTTTCTCTCTCTCTATGTCTCTCTCTCTCTCATAACAAAATATGAATGATTTTATTGTACTTCAGATCACTTTGGAAGAAGGATCATCCCATCCTATCAATTCCCTTAAAATAGCACAAATCTTTCACGGCCCTGCTGCCAACAGTATTCCTGTGTGGCTTGTAACAATCTTAAAATTGCTGCTAAATTGCAGGAGTTTGACTGTAATATCAGCAATCATGTCATTGGACGTCAATGGAGAGTTCCCCTCGCCTCCCTCTTTTGTGAAACGTCTCATTTCAGAGCAGCCGCTCGTCGTTACTGAAGCCGTAGAGCATTTAAACGAATTAGCTGCAGCAGATCCGCGCTCCTCTTCGGGGTCTGGTGTAGGCATCAACACGGATCAGATCCGTGCGAGATCTCCTGCTGGCTGAAAGTGATCCCCCTGCCTGGCGCCTGTCCCAGACCCAGCAGGCTAAAGGCGCACTCGCACATTTCTAGAAACAAACGTGCAGAAATCCACAGAAATACGCGAGCGATTTTTGTATTTTATCGGTGCATGCGGGCACATGTATGCACACAGGCCTGCCAACCTGCCGTGTATTTCCATGGCCATTTAAGTTGTTCCTCCTCCGGCTTCTCGACGGTTTTGCCTCTGTCGGGGGGTCGGAGCCTACAGGTAGAGCAGCTGGCAGGGCGTGAGGTGCAGGGACGGTCTTGATTTGAGTACCCTTACATCTGCCTGTGTAGCTGCTAACACGCTGGATGTTTCCGTGTCTGCAGTTTGACGGAGAGGGCCCAGCTCCTGAAGAACGTCTTTAAGAAGAGCACAGTCAGTCTGTACCGGTCCGAGTCCATGCAGCAGAACCTGCTCCGTAAGTTCCAGA